GGGAGGAAGCAAGGAAGCAATTTAGGGAACCAATGTAATGTTGTTGGAAACCCAATTTAAAAAGCGAGGGACGTCTAAAATTCTTCAATCTCCGGTCACCCAGTCCCACAACAATGAAGGACCGGCAGTAACCTGAAAGGATGGAGAACACATTTGGGAGTTCTAAGCACAACGTAGCTTATGGGTGAAGCAAACAACATTGCATGCGTTTAGATTGAAAGAAAATTAAGCAAGCGCTGAAAATCTAAAAGCGAGAGAGAAATACCAGCCCCTTTAGATGCAGCAGCTTCAATGAGGGTGAGGTTGACCATGAGAGCTTGGGAGGAGGAAGCTGAGAGTGCGGTGACGATATCATTTTCTGTGTAAGAAAACGCAGATTGTCCCTGAGTCTTGGAGGCATCGAGAACAAACCCGGAAACAGAGTAAACAAAACCAAACAACAACAGAGCCAGCTTCATGTTTCTGCTCATTTTTTCCTCTAAATTATGGATTCGGCCGATTTGCTGCTTTTATGGCAGCTGGAAAAGAAAAGAGCTCAAGGACGCCATCCGTTGGCCATGACAGCTTATAAAGGATAGAATGTAGCTTAGCGAGGATTGAAGAGAGAAGGCCCTTATCGTCGTTGTCTGTATATTGCCGCGGCGTACTAGTGTGTGTCTTGATTATCTTTAATGGTGGGCTATCTAATTTAGTTGAAGGAATCAGCCTACTGCACTGGAAATGCTGGTTATTGTCCAAAATGAAGAGATGTTTCCTTCATCAATGATGGCTCCCAACACTTATCGTTGTAGTCCCCTCCGCTTGCTTCCTTTGTTTCACTTTCCTACTTTACTTCCTCACCATCATTAGGCATAAGGCATCTCTCTTTTGTCCTTTCGGTGTCGTCTTTCCCATTTCTTCGTACCTCCCCGAAGAACAAGTAGCCGGGAGATTTATGAAGATGTGCCCTCATTTAACCCTGATTCTAATAATATCCCAAATATTTACAAAAATCTAAAAACTGAAAATAACACATGGATGTATTAAAATGTGCTTGTGATAACGCCTTTAAAACTCACAGCAACATCAACATAAAGTTACATAGTTAAAATCAATCATTTTAGATACTTGAATAACAAAGATGAGTTTAAGTCCTTATTCACGGTTTTTTTCGGTTATGATGATATGATGTATTGTTTCCGATTCTAATTATAAAAATTTATTTATAATCTATAAATAAGATCTTATAATTAGGATAGAAGCTAATATTAAGTTATAGAGATTAGTGGTTCTCCCAACTTAACATCTTATTTAATAAACTATTGGTAAAGTTTTTTTAAAAACGTTACAGTGAAATTTGCGAATGCCAAAATCAATTTGATTTTTTTTATTAAACTATTCATAAATGGTCTCGGCAGATATACTTCTCCTCCTCATTTTTTCCCACCTTTTCAGTCCTTCGTGATAAAATGTGATGAATAAATGTATTTAAACTGAAATATGATAAAGAAATTGAGCTTAATCCTGATAATTTCAAGTGTCTAAAGGCTTCTCTCTGTTGGTTGAGAAAAGAAAGATCCTCTGCCGTGCGGTCAGGTGAATAACCTCAAGCCATTGATTGCGGCGGGGATTTTTCGAACTCATCAATCATCATCATGCATTCTCGTTAAATAACCCAAAAAGAAAAAGCCGCATCAAAATATCGTGAATCCACTTATTTCTAAAATATTTCGATGCCAACAAATATTTCACCTATTTCAAAATATTTCACCTATTTTAGCACAGCGATTAAGAAATACCGTTAATGCATTCGTTGGCAAAAAAGGGATAAGGCAAAGGTTTTTTGTTTTTTGCCAAAATGAGGAAAAGGTATTCGAGTAAATATAATAATAAAATTTAAAAAATCCCAATAAATGATGATTTGGATTTAAAAACAACATTTTTTTGCCAAAAAAATATTCAAAATAAAATTAAAAAAAATAATCCAAAAGGTAAAATCACAAAAATACCCATGAGTGGACTCACTAATTGGTGTTAGGGACTCAAACAGGGGAATAACAAATAAAAACGTGGGAAAGAAATTAAGAGGGAAAAAAAGAAGAAGTGATGAATGGCCCAAAAAAGGAAGGGGTGCATATTAGTCCTTATCACGTGGACATCAGATCACAGCATAGCACATGTACGCATTCTCATTTGTGTGGTCTTCGCTCTCAACGGATGATCCACTCACAGATTTGTACAACCTTTCACTCATATTAATACTAATACACACAAGTTCTAAATACAAAAGTCAATTTAATTTCATGTCGCACATGATTTTTCCTAAGCCTAACTGAGCCTTTTTTAATTCGATAACGTCTGTTCAAATCGTGTCAATATACATCTATACAAGGTATTTGCATTTTCGTTCGTCCACGACACATTTTCATCACTGGAAGAGTTTTTTTTTTTAAAAAAATTTAATAAAAAAGGAAAACTATATATTAGGTCCGTGGAGGAGATTGATCCAAGTGACGTGATTAAAATAATGCTATTGTCTAATTTGCGAAAAGCAGTAACGATTAAAGATTGATAGTAAGAAAATTCCCTTCTGATGAGTTTTAATTAATTATTCCAGCTTTGAGATTTTTCAAAATCTGCTCATGGTGGTTCCCAGAGATCACACTGTTTCGAGCAGGCCAGAGTCTCGACAACTAATGATATGCGATAATTCATTTGAATGTCATTTTTTGGTAGATATATTGATTTGGGCTTGGGCCCTCCTTACTTCACCCAAATAGAAAAAGGCGTGGCGCCAATTCAAAATAACCGCATGGAAGCTTCCATGACAAGGCGAGTGGCAAAAACCCCTTGTCAGTTTTGCCATTGCTAACCTCTCGCTCAGAGCTCAGAGTCTTAAAAGTTCCCCAAATCACCGGCCATGGATGCTCAAATTGGCCTCCTGCGTAACATTCTAGCTGCACTCACAAATATAGAAAGAAGGCTGGTCCATGAACCGGTAGCTGTTGCGATTAATGCATTGAATGTAGAAGCCGCGGAAGATCTCCTCGCCATGATTGCTGCTCGTGTGGAATCTATTCAAGCTACCCTTGATGGTGTTGCACCAGAGGCAGTTGCGGTGGATGACGTGGCGGCGGGTGACCAGCCCCAAGCCGCCCGTCAGGAGTGGGAAGACCAGCCTTGCGAGGCTGCCGTGGTGAATGCACGCTGGACAGATTGTGAAACAGAATTGCGTGTAACTGTGCCCATCAACAAGAAAGTTAAATGGGGCGAGAAATCGGACTGCATAAATGACAAGGACGCGAGTCAGTGCAAGAGCCGCTGGGGCTACCTTAGGAAATTGCATAGGAGGAGGGCCATGGTTGATGGAGGCTACGATAGCCCACTACCTCACTACTGGTCCTTGCTGTCTCAGTTTTTTGATGGCAATATCAACCCACCAGCTCCGAACGGAGATGTCAACCCACCCGCTCTGATCGGTGATGTCAACCCACCAGCTACGAACGGAGATGTCAACCCACCAGTTCCGATCGGTGATGTCAACCCACCAGTTGCAAATGGAGATGTCAACCCACCAGCTCTGTGTTAGAGTAAAAGATCAGCCCAATCAACACAACACTCAGCCCAAATATTTGGCCCATTAGTTCAGTATTCTAAAATATTGTATTAGGGCTACGTGTTTCGTGTTTTCTCAATTGTATATCTCGTGACACACCTCTATATATACAGCACTGCAATAACCTCTTGGAGATGCAATGAATATACTATTCATTTTATCTTCTTGTTGGTTTCAATACTCTTTTATGGTATCAGAGCCATCGTCTCTCCATTGCTACAATTCATCGTGTTTTTTTTAAAAACAAAATATCTACTATCTCATCTAGTACCTCTTCTACTTCTCCTTCTTCTCAAATTTCTTCTTCCTCCGCTCTTCCCTCTCACTCTGCCTTGGCATCCTCTCCCTCTCACTTTATTTCCATTAAACTTACCAATGAGAATTACACCATCTGGAAAGCTCAGATAGTTCCCTATCTTCATGGCCAGTAACTCTATTCGCACATTGATGGCACCACTATTTCACCCTCCATGAGACTTGATGATGGCATTATCAATCCTGAATACACTTCTTGGTTTCAGAAAGATCAATATATTCTCTCTGTTCTCATCTCCTCTCTATCTGAACCACTGATAGGCCAAGTTATTAAAAACAAAACCTCACGCTCTATGTGGCTAGCCCTTGAACGCACATTCACTCAAAAATCTCAAGCTCGCTTTCTTCATCTCCATAATCAACTCACCACACTTAAAAAAGGCTCTGAATCAATCTCCAACTACTACAAGCGAGCGATCATGCTTTCTGAAGCCCTCAGCACTACTGGACGTCTAGTCGATGACATGGACTTTGTTGCATATCTTCTAGTTATTAGAGATTAATTAAGAAGCATTTGGTGGCCAAGAAAGACCGGCTGTAAGAAACATTTAACATTTTTACCATATTTTTATCATAGTCATAGCAGTGTTATGATTAGCATGTAAAAGTCTTATCTGGGTATTGATAATTTTTCTTTTACCAGAATCTGACAATTAATCTGTACCAAGTAAAATGAATCATATTAGGGTTGTACCAGTACGATTGTGATTGATTTTGTCTATATGCGGATGTCCTGCGTATCAGGTCTCCTTTAGATTGGTCAGTTAAATTTTAAGATGCTTGGCAATTTGAGTTTATCACTTCCGATTGCAGATATTCCCATCCCATGGCGTCCACCACATGTTGGACCTTAACAAGCCCACGAAGAATTTCGAGGTGCTCACATTCTCCTTAGACGCGTGTCAAAACAAAAGCATTCGAATCTCAACTATACGATAGGCCAACAAGGATGCAATAACTCGATGCGTCTTGATGAAGGTCTGGGACAAACATGTGGAGCAGAACAACAAAGCGTAGCACCATTCATTATGTTAGTCTGTTGCGGTCATTTCATTTTATGTTAAAAATCTGTTCAACATCGCTCGTGATATGCTTGGTTGCTGTTGGGGTGAACAATATTTATTAATAAGATCTAAAACTAAAAAGATCTCATTGAATAGGCTTATCGGAGTTAAATGAGTTCGCATCCTCAGGCAAGAATGACTTCCCAGTAAGAAATAATGAATGTTACAAAGATAGAAGAATGGGAGACAGAAAGATGAAAGCATGAAAAGGTTGAATCAGTTGAAAACCAGATTATGGCAAGTGTTGTCACAGGGATAAGCACAGTCAATAGCCTTGAAAGCATCCCTATCGAAATACCAGTCCCCAACAGCAATTGCAATAGGCTGCGTAATGAGAAGATAAAACACCCAATGTGATTTTTCTCCCATATAACGGCATTGATCTGTTTCAAGAGCATTGGAGTCTAAGCGGGAACGTACCTTGCCCGTAAGGAGAGGAGATTTATCTGATAACCATAATTCCTGCCTCTCAGATTGGCAATGAGAAAAGCAGGAATTTATGAACAATCCAGCCTGAGCTTCCGTTGAGAAATCTTGCAAGGCATTTAGCATTTGAGTTCTGAAGCCTACGTCACAGGAGAGACATCAATTTCAAATATCATAAACACAATCAGATAAAATGCAGAGGCACATCAACTGATGGGCGTATACATCTGAGTTCAAATTAGAATGAACCTTGGAGGAACTGAATCTGAGACGAGTTACAATTTGCATGATTTGATTTGCAATCGTTCCAAGAGCCCAAGGGGTCAGCTGAAGCCGGTATTAAACTCGCTTGAACCTGGTGAAACCAATAACAAGAATGATAACAAAAATTACTACTCACAACCATCGCAGTTCCTGAAGAAATAATGGCCCGTGTAATGTTGATTACCTGCCATGAATCGTAGGCTGCATTAAGTAGAAATAATGGAGTCTCTACGTGATTGACCAAATTCTGAGGAAAGAAGCACTGCAGAGAGTCCACAAAAAGTTTCAATTTTGCTCGTCTTGGTAATATCCAGTTGCTAGTGGAACGATATTCAGAATAAAAGAATTACCGAAGTTGGATCAAGTTGGTTGAGACAGCTTTCTGGCAAATTCTTTTGTACTTCCTATAATATCAACAAATTAGATCCATGATATTATTTATATGCATGTTCTTAACTAAAGAAGGGAAAATCTAAAGAAAGTTTTATGCAAAATGTTGGAGCAAATGAGTCTCCACATCAAAGAAGTGATAAAACATACCTGTAACTGAACAACACCTGCAAACATGTTCCTCATAGTACGCGACCCAGATACATCAGCTCTACACGATTGAAAAAGTTGATGATGATGTCAAAAAGTTTCAAGCAAAAAAGTATCATGGTGCAGCGTATATGAAGAAACTTATATAACTTACGCATCAAGAAAAAATCCTGCATCGCTCAAGCATTTTACTTTTGAAGAGTTTGGAAACTGATTCTTAAACTCATCACAATGTATCATGGTCGCCAGGCCACCAGCAGAGCATCCAGAGAGGAGAGCCTGAAATTTTCTTTTTTGTGAATTAGAATTCATAAGCACCTAAAGAACGAACTGCAATTGAAAGGAGCATGTCCTACCTGGTCGGCATTCTGCATTCCCTTGGACATTAACTCCTCCATAGCAGCAAGCCATATTTTTTGCCCTTGAAATTGAAGCTTTGCAGCCTGAAAAGAGAACCAAATGCATGTAAGGTAATATAAATGAAAATTTGAAATTAATCAAAACCAGAGGCATTATTAGAGCTGACAGCACGAGAGTATCTTCCAACACATTGACTGAAGGTAGCATCAATAGTTCAATTTTTCAAGGAAATTTCTGTTGCTAATAGAAATTATATAGGGAAAAGTCTGAGAAAATATATTGTGCAGAGACATTTCATTGACCTCGTTCTGACTATCTCCACTGAAGGAAGCCCCATCACAGTACCGTAGTTTGACCCGGTTCCAGTTGAAAAAGTCTGCGCATAAAAGATAGGACCCAGAGGATATGCATTCTTTAGTATTTATGTGTAGCAATCCCCGGAAGTTCATTTAAACGCATGCATAGGGTAAGAAGAGAAAGCAGACCTGGATTTTCTTCAGCTTTGTTGCTCAATATTCCTGTGAATGGTATTTGCTTTTCCATGTAGTTTGAGGAACCACGACGAGTAGTTTTTCTATAAACGCAAGTCCTGATGTTATTACACCATCCTCCACCCTACATCAAGACTGATTGTAAGGGATTTCCAATTTTCGGGGGGAAAAAAGGTAATTTTTCGGGAAATGGTAAGGGAGAATCGTGATGAACAACTAGGAGATTGTATGGTATACCTCCAATTCAATGAGCCAACTATTTGCACCTGATCCAAATCCAGGATCCAAATGATAACCTGGCAGTGTTCCGTCTAAACACACTGACAATACGACAGACAAGTATATAAAATTCAATAAGAAATTCTATCCTTTGAGTCAGTCTTTAGACAAATTAAGTGTACCTATTCATTACAAACAACTCAGAAAAACACGTGTATAGTACAATCTATCAAAATAAAATCTTTGGTGAGGGGTGTAAACATTCTTTCAGCTGAGAAATCCTAGTGCGAAGAATCAGACGCTTAATCGTTGGTCGAGGAAAATCAAGACATGGGTAGGCTACATAACTAAAGGAAATAGGTGAGATTCCGGAGTTACATAACTAAAGGAAATAGGTGAGATTCTCCGGAAAGTCCAGAGAGGAAGAAAGGAAGCAATTTAGAGAACCAATGTAATTTAAAAAGCGAGAAATGCATAAAAAACTTCAATCACTGGTCACCCAGTCCCACAAGAATGAAGGATCAGCAGTAACCTGAAAGGCTGGAGAACACATTTGGGAGTTCTAAGCACAATGTAGCTTATGGGTGAGCCAACAATATTGCACGCGTTTAGATTGAAAGAAAATTAAGAAAGTGCAGAAAATATAAAAATGAGAGAGAAATACCGGCCCCTTTAGACGCAGCAGCTTCAATGAGGGTGAGGTTGACCATGAGAGCTTGGGAGGAGGAAGGTGAGAGTGCGGTGACGATATCGTTTTCTATGTAGGAAAACACAGATTGTCCCTGAGTCTTGGAGGCATCGAGAACAAACCCAGAAACAGAGTAAACAAACCCAAACAACAACAGAGCCAGCTTCATGGTTCTGCTCATTTTTTTTCCTCTAAATTATGGATTCCGCCGATTTGCTGCTTTTATGGCCGCTGGAAAAGAAAAGAGCTCAAGGACGCCATCCGTTGGCCATGACAGCTTATAAAGGATAGAATGTAGCTTAGCGAGGATTGAAGAGAGAAACCTTATCGTCGTTGTCTGTATATTGCCGTGGCGCACTAGCGCGTGTCTTGATTATCTTTAATGGTGGGCTATCTAATTTGGTTGAAGGAATCAGCCTACTGCACTGGAAATGCTGGTTAATTGTCCAAAATGAAGAGATGTTTCCTTCATCAATGATGGCTTCCAACACTCATCGTTGTGGTCCCCTCCACTTGCTTCCTTTGTTTCACTTTCCTACTTTACTTCCTCACCATCATTAGGCATAAGGCATCTCTCTTTTGTCCTTTCGGTGTCGTCTTTCCCATTTCTTCGTACCTCCCCTAAGAATAAGTATCGGGAGATGTATGAAGATGTGCCCTCATTTAACCCTGATTCTAATAATATCCCAAATATTTACAAAAATCTAAAAACTGAAAATAACACATGGATGTATTAAAATGTGCTTGTGATAACGCCTTTAAAACTCACAGCAACATCAACTTAAAGTTACATAGTTAAAATCAATCATTTTAGATACTTGAATATTACAGATGAGTTTAGGTTCTTATTCACGGTTTTAATTATAAAAATTTATTTATAATCTATAAATAAGATCTTATAATTAGGATAGAAGGTAATATTAAGTTATAGAGATTAGTGGTTCTCCCAACTTAACATCTTATTTAATAAACTATTGGTAAAAAAATTTTAAAAACATTACAGTGAAATACGCGAATGCCAAAATCAATTTGAATTTTTTTATTAAACTATTCATAAATGGTCTCGGCAGATATCCTTCTCCTCCTCATTTTTTTTTCCCATCTTTTCAGTATTTTGTGATAAAATGTGATGAATAAATGTATTTAAAGTGAAGTATGATAAAGAAATTGAGCTTAATCCTGATAATTTCAACTGTCTCAAGACTTCTCTCTGTTCGTTGAGAAAAGAAAGATCTTCTACCGTGCGGTCCGGTGAACAAACCCCAAGCCATTGATTGCGGCGGGGATTTTTCGCTCATTGTTGGCATCCGACCGAACTCATCAGTCATCATCATGCGTTCTCATTAAATACCCAAAAAAGAAAAAGCTGCATTAAAATATTGTGAATCCACTTATTCCAAAAATATTTCGATGCCAACAAATATTTCACCTATTTCAAAATTTTTAATATTTTAGCACAGCGATTAAGAAATACAATTAACGCATTCGTTGGCCAAAAGGGGATAAGGAAAAGGTTTTTATTCGAGTAAATATAATACTCTTTCGATCCTTAATATAAAATCCATTTAACTAATTTGAATAGATTATGAAAGTTAGGTAAGTTAGTTAATTATAAGAAAAGTAACACATTTTTCGTAAAACACTATAATCATATTTCTTAATACTCCATCTCCTTCTTCTACTTGATTATAGTTGATGAGGGAGTATCCATATTCCATAAGAGTAATTTAGAAAAAATTGATAAATATAAGAAATGAGTCTTATATTTAGAACCAAAACTAATTCCAAAATTGGGTCCTATATTAAAAATCGAAGGAGTAATATAATAAAAAAATCTCAATAAATGATTATTTGGACTTAAACAACACTCTTTGGCAAGAAAAAGTAGTATTCAAAATGAAATTAAAAAATAATCCAAAAAGATTTATATCCCGAGAGGACGAAGATTACTTATTACTACTGGAAAATTTCTTTTTGTTTTACATTGGCCTTTGAAAATTCTCTCTAAATAAAAAACCTCTTTTTTTATCGTCCCTCCCATCCTTTTTTTTTGTAATGAAATTGTTCTATTAATTGTACAAAGCTAGTTTATTAATGAATGAGTGTTTTCTGATTAATTAAGGTGTTCAGCAATAAGCATTTTGAATAAAATCCTGTCAATTATTGACATATTATTGACATTACTACTATTTACTATTATTTTTAATTGAATTAATAAACCTTTTTTATGAAATAATCAAACTTGAGTTGATCATGCTTAAATCAATATGTTATGCTCAAATCTCTTGTGCGTTTATAATTTATTTACATAATAACTTTTTATTTTCTTAAAATTTAATAATTTGTTATTGTTCTTTTATATATATATATATATATATTCAAAATTCATTACTCATGCGGCAAATATATGATCAGTTATTCTAATTTCTGCTTGTTATATTTTACAATTTTTGCTTCTTGGTAAGTTATTCAAAATGTAAACACTTTATTTTATTTCTGCACGTATTACATAAGCAATATTTAAAAATTGATCTAAAATTTATGTAATTATAAAAATATGCTAATTTGATATTATAAAATTATAAAATGAAAATAACTGCACAAAAAGCTTATGTGAGAAGACAAAGGGCCAAACCCATTTATTAGTGTTTCCATTGGTTTGAGGAGGGACTAACCTCCATTTCACTTAAAGTCCTTGAAAATTTTGCCATATCTTCTACGATGGATCTTTAATCAACCAACCTTCTGCACAACATTTTGGCGGTTCTCACAAATATAGAGAGACGACTCGTCCATGCACTGGTGGCGGATGAAATTCTTATCGTTAATGGAGAAGTCGCAGATATCGTTGTTATGATTGCTGCCAAAGCTCAATCCACTGATGCTGCACTGAATGCTATTGCTAGACAAGCTAATGAGGCGGCAACTATCGTGGTGGACAATTGCCAACTACCCATCAATGGTTACAAGATGGGGGCTCAGTCCCAAGCCACTGACCACGAGGTTGCTGACCAGCCCCAGGCCACCAACCATGAGACGGGCGACTAGCCTCATCCGAAAAAAAAATAATATTCAAAATGAAATTAAAAAAATAATCTAAAAAGATTTAGAGATTACTTATTACTATCTCTAGTTCTAATTATAAGACATCGTTTGTTTAGCTAACACCTCTGTTTTGGTATCAGAGCCATGACTATTTAGACCGATATAAGACTTTTGGAAACTTTCTTTAAATATAAAACCTCTTTTATTATTATCACTCCCATTTTTTTGTTGACAAAATTGCTTTATTAATTGCACAAAGTTGACTCATTAATTAATGAGTGTTTTCTCATTAATTAAGGTGTTCAGTGACAAGTATTTTTTAATGAAATAATATCAATCATTGACATATCATTTCTGGTCCTAATTATAAGACCTCGTTTGTTTAGCTAACACCTTTAAATTGGTATCAAAGCCATAACTATTCAAACAAAAATGAGATATTATTTGTGATGGTAAATAAAAAGAGTTTATTAAATCATGAGTGAAACTTCAACTAGCCTTGAGCCTATTTGATTTTTTTCTTTCTTTACTCCGCAAAGACTTTCTTCTTCTATTTGTAGAACCCTTTCTAAAAAGATTGAAAATCTTATAGAGACAAGTTACCTTCATAAAGATGCTAAAATTCAAAAAATAGATTTACCTCTTCTTGGTCCTTATAGCTTTTATCTATATTAAAATTTATTTTTGTCTTCATTAATCGATAATTTGATATGATGCTGTTTAGTTGAGGGTAATTTTAATTTTTCTATGTATTCTCATTGACAATAAATATGTCCTTTTTATAAAAAAAAGTTTAAAAGGTTTGAGTGATTGGACATTGAAGGTTAAAATTTGATCATCTTTCACAATTTAAAAGCAGTATAATATCTGAGGGACGCAAGAATACTATTTTGAAAAATCAAAACAAGTTAGTTATTGCCTTAAAAAAATAGAAGAAGTTAGATTGCTTGTGCGTTCCAACATAAACCGTTAGAACACACCATTTGCATGAAACAATTTATTCAAACTCGCGACTAAGGCTATTTAAAACGGTAAGAAACAAAAAGAGTCAATCTATAAACACTCTTTTGTGATCGATAAAGTTGACTTCTTTTCAAAAAAGAAGAAAACCTATAAACACAAGAAGTAAGGTGTGAGCGTCAATATTAGGCTAGCCGAACCACTTACAGCCATTGAACAAATGAAATAGTCGACTCAAAAATTGCACCAGGGCTTTCCTATGTGTTTGTGGAGAATCCTAATGTGAAGCCACTAGTGAGCAAACCCTGATGCCAACAATAAATCAAAAAAATGAAAATTTTGGAGGAAAATTTTATTAATGATAACAACCTAATAAATGTTTATATAAAAAATTAATATTTTGTAAATTTTATATACAAAAGAAATTATGACTAGGTTCTCCTTGTCAATAAAATTTTAATGGAATTTTTTTCCCAATAATAAAATTGAGCACCATGCTTTGTAGCACATGGGAATCTTTAAAGCCTAATTGACAATGGACATTGGATATTTACCTGACGAATAAAGCGTCTGGTTCGGCCAGGACGAATATTTTGCAGCACTGCACTTTCGTATAACTAGAAGCCAGCATCTCCTATTGGATGACTTGTTCGGCTTTCTGGGCATTTTGGACATGAAATGGCATCTGCCCTTTGGTTATTACAGGACAATCACTTACACTATATAACATCTTAGATAATAGCGACATCAAAGTTCATATTCCATTACGCAAAATAGAATAAACCTTTATTCTCGTAAATCCCGTTTCTAGATTATGCCTCCCTTTTTCTTGGCATTAACATTCCAACCCTGTGCACCAACTCGTTCATGGCATCAATTTTTCCTTATCTCTACCCCACCCAACCATTAACCTTCCATTCTCAACAACCTAATTCATTCACCTAATCATACAGATCCGAACTCCTAATTAATTATTGTGCTTGGCATAGTAGCAAGATAATCTCATACGAGGACAAGAAAAACAGAGCAGCTGTTGTAGGGAAAATGACAGAATGTGAAGATGACCAATTCTGACAAATATTTAAAAAAGAAAAGAGAATGCTCTTCCGCCTCAGACTAAAAAATCTTTGAGCGTCATTTCGCACTTTCACCTTAGTGGTGGGCCCTCCAGTCACATATGCATGTATAAATTGATGGTGCGAGGCCATTCCCAATTCATTCATCTCAGGGTTTACGTTCATTCAAACAGTGTAGCACAGGTCTGTTTCGTTTCATGCCTATTATACTCCTTTTCATTGCTTCTGCACTGTCCACTTTGCCTTATTCTATTAGCAGTTTATTTGTGGTTCACATTCATGGGCATGCTTCATGCATTGATATCGACATAACCCTTGAAATCGGTTCAGAGTTTTGAATATCATCTGATCAGTTTATTTTGTGATTCACTCAACCCTCTTGCAACAACTCAAGACTATTCTGAGATTCTTCATCCGTTTAAAGGTTTGAATATCATCTAATCAATTTTGTTGAACTGCCATCTGAAATTTTTACGATCTTTCCAGTAGTAGTGGGGAGTTTATATCCTGGAAAACATAGAAAATGTATTATTCAATTGGTTAACATGTTAATTATCATGCTACTGCAAGCAAGGACACTTTTACTTGCACTCAGGTTTTCAAAGCGTGATTTTCATAGTAAAAGATTACAGGAGGAATGATGCAGAATTAGTATTTAATCGAGCAGGCTTATTTAGAAAGGTAATCTAACAAATTTGTTGAACTTTGTTGTAGATTAAGAATCCTGCAAGATGGATGCAGCTCGCATGACCGGTGGCTCCAAGTACGAGTGCTTGCTTTTCGGTATGCTTAGGGCAACCCAGTTAACATACTCTTTTCATGTTTATTTTGTCACAGTATATACCTTAGTAGTCTTGTGCAGAACCTCAGTGGTTTTGATCATGAAACAAAGATGAAAGTTGTATAAGTGTATGACACTTTATATTCGGGCTCCATTTTGCCTTATTTTAAGACAGTCTGTGAATCAGGTCACTAGGCAGGGATCAAGGGGCGAGGGATGTGAAAAAATATATGAAAAGAGAATCAAGAGTTCAAAGATTTTCTATTTTTTATGTTTATTTAAAAGAAAATTAATACCCCCTCCAGTTCCATTTTATAGTGTAAATTACATTATAAAATGGGTCTTATGTTTAGGATTGGAGGAATATCATTTAGTTTCTAGGCATTTTCGGTTCTTAAAGATTGAAACTGGTGAGACTTCAACGGAATTGGGACTTTCACCTTTTCGGCAAAACTTTGATTCCCTTCAACGCCTTCCCAATAGCAGAAACGGAGTTGATGCAATAAGATCCCTTACACACAGTATTGGATAATTAATCAGGATCGAATTGAAGTTTAAAATTTCCGTAAAATTATTCATGTATTGAGTAAAGAAAAAAAGGAGCAGTAATTCTCAATTATTTACGAACATACAGTAAATATCTTCGACAAGTTATTTCTGCCTTCCAGTCATCTCCATTAAATCTCTACATTTGGATTTTTAGTTACTGTGCGTCAAATGAGATGAAAGGGGGCGTTATTAATGTGCGGATCCAAATCTTTTTCTACAGATATGGATGACACACTCTATCCACTGAGCTCAGGTATCAACCTAGCTTGCCGGAAGAACATACAAGGTACAAATGTAAATCTTGGGCGCGACCAGAAAACATCATGGTTCTAATGTCCTGGTTCACATGTTTTTTTTTTTTAAAAAAAAATCACCTTGATTACCTAAATTTGATTGCAGACTATATGCTGGAATGCCTGGGCATTGAAGAAAGTCAAGTTCCCAAGATGTGCTTGGATTTGTACATAGAATACGGAACCACTCTGGCTGGACTTAAGGTAAACTTTGTACTATGAATCGAAACCTTCACGTATTCAGTAATCATTACCAATACTTGGGATCAATGAATTCATGAGCGTTTTTCTCTCAGGCCCTTGGTTATGAATTCGACAATGATGAGTTCCATGCTTACGTGCACGGAAGATTGCCTTATGACAAGTTGAAGGCCGATCCTTTGTTAAGGAATCTCCTGCTTTGCATGCCTCAGCGTAAAATAGTATGCCATGCACGGTTCAATCTCTGAATTAGTCAGTTCTGCGATGAGCATTAGGTAAAATTTCTGACGAATTCAAAATGATCTCTGCAGATTTTCACCAATGCAGATCAAGCACATGCAATTCAAGTTCTCAAGAGATTGGGCTTGGAAGATTGTTTCGAGGGCATTATATGCTTTGAAACACTGAATCCTCCTCAAAATTTCAACGATGTCGATGACAAAGCAGAAAATGGATTTTTCAGCTCCAAGTCACGAATACTCTGCAAGCCCTCCGTGGAAGCCATTGAAGCTGCTATTCGCATTGCTAACGTGGATCCTAAGAAAACAGTAACGCTGACTACTTGCTTTATATATCAAGCGCCTGAAGATTTCTTCCTCGTATATTTTGTTCATCAGTCTCCAGGAATCATTTCAAATTTTTCGGTCTTTTGCAGATTTTCTTCGATGACAGTGCTAGAAACATTGCAAGCGGAAAAGCAGCTGGGCTTCACACAGTCATCGTAAGCTATATAATTTGCATCTTGTTTGGGGAGCAAAGCTTAACTGCGAAATTAAACTACTACACGAAAACATACTCATAACTAATCTGACACACTGTGACAGGTGGGGCGTTCAGATTTGGTGCCAGGAGCAGACTACGCTCTGAGAAGCATCCACAATATCAAAGAAGCATTACCAGCAATACGGGAGACAGAAGAGGGCCACGAACAGAAAGTGCTCCAATCACAAGCAGTTGCAACCATGGTCCAAGCATAGGTTCCACTTGCTTGATAAGCAAATTAAGTCTCTTTGGGTCACTCCATCAAAATCTACAAAACCGTCCCCTTTGTCTCTGAGGGCGTTAATGCTTTCACTATATGTCTATATTGATAATGTAATTAATCGCATGCAATGTATGGGTATCTTGTAATGGCAACAGCCATAATCTATTAGGGAAGAAGAAAGTACTACAATTATAAGATTTAGCAAATGTGTATCAGTTTAGTACATATGAAATAACGTTTTCGTACTCATCCTGACAATAGTTCCCTCACCAAATCTCGCCTTTATTGCCATGTCACTTAAACGACACTACATTTTCCCTCAACTCAAAAGGTGCAGAAGACTAAAGCTTGAAAATTGTCATAGCAAAAGAGAAAATTCTCATGCGCTTCAGAGGAAGGATCAAGCATCTAGAGGCAGCTCTCCACAATTAACAATTCTGCATGGCTTCCGAGGGCCATCATACCTGCTTGTCTCCTGGGATTCAAGCGTCTTCACAACATCCATTCCATCAACGATATGCCCAAAAACAACATGACGATTGTCCAGCCATGGAGTCTACATCATGAAACAAACTCATTAGCAAATATCAAACCCAACAACTAAAACAACTTCAATTTACACGGTTACAAAAGTACTCCTCCGGTCCTTAAAAGATCTATTTAACTAATTTGATTAGATTAAGAAAGTTAGGTAAGCTAGTTGATTATAAGGAATATACTCCTCCGATCCTTATTATAAGACCCAATTTGACTTTTTATTTGGTCCTAATTATAAGATCCAATCCATTTTGTCTCTTATATTTATGCATTTTTTTCCAAGATAATCCTTCTAATAATGATAGTTTTAGCCAATATACTTAATTAGCAAGGATATTTTAGGAATGACAACACTTATTTATTATAAATAACCAACTTAACTTACTTCCTTAATTTCCTCAAATAAGTCAATTGGGTCTTATAATTAGGACCAGAGGAGTAACATGTTTTTCCTAAAATATCATAATCATCCTCCTTAATATCTTTTCTCCATCTTCTACTTGATTATGGTTGAAGAAGTATCCATAAAGGTAATTTAGGAAAAATTAATAAATATGAGAAATAGGTCTTATATTTAGGATTAAAATCAACTCAACAATTAGGTCCTATATTAAAGACCGGAGGAGTATATGTCAAGTCAATTTGATAACTAAAGCATTACTACCAGTCACTTCTTGTTATCAATCAAACCAAGTAGGAATCAATAATAATACATCTAAAACAAAGCTTAAAAAGAAAAATGCCGATCTAACTTAAGTGAGAATTTACTACTTATGTAAATGTCTCCTCCGCAGATCACAAGATAATAATTTTTCTGGTAAATGGAGGCGATTCAGACAATATATTCTATAAGGAGACTAAAACCAGCAAAACTGAAAGCCCTTGAAAATTTTACTTGACCTGTGTTTGAGTAAGTGACTGCTGCACTGCACTATAAAAAGATGGGTTCTACTTTTCTTCTATTTCTAAGCAGAGTTCAATTATGTCACTGCAGGAAATTATTGGTTTGCTAGACTCTTGACGTGCAAAGAATGCTCTAACATTAATGGATAACTTGTAACAGAAACAAAAAAAGGGCAGTGCAGCTAACTCGCTCACCTTTACAGTACAAATGAAAAATTGACTCCCATTAGTATTAGGACCTGCATTTGCCATGCTCAAAACTCCAGGACCAACATGCTTCACTGCAGGGAAGGGCTGTACTACGTTAGGAAGACATTAACACATCATTTTCAACCAAAAGATCGATCCCGATGAGAAAAACTACGCTTTTATCCATGTGTAAAAACTAAAAACTGCAAAAGTAGAACTTTTAGTATGAAAGATTTGTACGGCTCAATATCATTTGAGTCATCATTCAGACAGTAGATGGGACATACAGGCAAAACTTTCATCTTCAAAACTAGAGCCATAGATGCTGATTCCTCCAGTTCCCTGCGGTCATTAGTAGTATATATTTTAGTGATAACCCACATAACACTAAATTTCTTCGGCTGTGTGAAAGCAAACACTGCGCTAGTTAATACACAGAGATGCATAAACAACTATGATAGAGCTCACATCTCCTTCAGTGAAGTCCCCTCCTTGAATCATGAAATCTTTGATTATGCGGTGGAAGTGGGATCCCTTGTAACCATATCCTTTCTCTCCTGCACAAAGATATTTCAAATTATCTGAAAATTCTGAAAACTCCCCTCTATCACTATCCATTTCACAGTAATAATGAAAACACTACAAGAGCAATGTTGTAAAATCTGATCCTGCCTTGCCTGTACAAAGAGCACGGAAATTTTCAACAGTTTTGGGCACAACTTCTCCAAATAGGCCCAAAACAATCCTGCCAACAGATTCACCCCCAATTTCTACATCAAAGAAACACTTGTTGGTCACTTTGGCTTGCAGCTCTAGGACCTAAAAGTAACAGAGCCGTGTAAGACAATAAGCCAACATCTAAGTCCCAGCGAAACAAAGGATTGCCAAGAGATTTCCATTTCGAGCAGTGAATATAATTTTGAAGAACCCATATAGCATCATCATTTTGAATGAGTCAAGGAATTCCAATCATAAGATCCACAGGCTGCTCAATGCCAGGAACTGATGTGAACTTATAATTTAATATTAGGTGTTTACACTTGTCCACATGGATAGCACAAATCAAAAGAGATCCCATAAGTATTATTCTCTTTCCATCATCTTACTCACTTTGGCTATAAAATCTCCTCTTAACATTCCCAAACCAAATTGTTTGAACAAGTACACTTACATTTTGGTCAGCGTCGACACATGTCATTCTCTTATATGAGATTGATTTTACTCCGGATTGGTTTGAGACAGAAAAACTTGAGGCATAATGAGATTTTGATGCCAGTGCTTTGGTGTAGCCAAGCTGTGATTTTGTACTGCTACAAATCATATGTGGCCTTCGAACCTTCGACACATCTTGGCTGTAATTACCCTGACAACAAAATTTTGCCATTATAATGTGCATAAAAGTTCCGCTTTCGCAGCACGTTTTATGGTTAGCTTATACTACTTCCGGTACTAATTATAAGAACTAGTTGACTAATTTGAGAAGATTAAGGAAAAAAATTAAATTAGTTATTTGTAATAAATATGTGTTGTCTTTTCCAAAATATCCTTGCTAATCAAACGTATTTACTATATATATCATTGTTAAAAGGATTATATTGAAAAATATATATTTAGGATTACAATAAAAATCAAACAAAGTCGACTAAGATAGTATTAATATGTTCGATGCAATGACAAGAGAAAGTAGAATGACCCTATTCTCCAGATACAAGAGGTACAGCACAAGTGAGAAATGTAGACTCTATATAGCTAATATTTGGATTGTTGTAATATTCAGATAGTCAAAGGCCTCCAATCTGTTGTCAGAACCAGTAATTTCAAACGCATTCCATCTCCACACCATCTTCTCAAGACCAGCAACATAAGCATGCTCGATAAGCAGACTAAATAAAAGGAATTTAAGAAAAAAGAAAGACAAAATAGAAGATAGCAACCTGAAACTGAGAAAGACGAGGAAGCGAGTTCTGACTTTGCACTAACTGCGCTGAGAATGAAGAAGCCATAGTTAACGATATGATAGGAAAAGGGTTGCCCTCTAACTGGAAATTGGGCGATGGTTTCTGGGTTTCAGGGCCAAAGCAATGGAATGTCGCTCAATAGCTCAAGTATTAGGTGACTGGAAACTACAGCTGAAGGCGGTGAGTGGTGGATAAACCGATAAAGGGAGCAGACATTTTTTATTTTATTTTATTTTTTATTTTATAACTTTTTTGGGAAAAAAAAATCTGGCCTTTTCCGTGATTGAAGAGTCGGGAGCAGTCGCGTTCAGTAGGGTTTGCGCCCCAGTGCGCCAAGCCGACGAGGAACAAATCATTCGATTTCTTAACGGATTAAATTTTTTTGGTCGTTAGTTCGGGCACGATATTTTACATTCATTTAAAAAATAAGTAGTGGCAAATAATAGTCCTTGACCTGATTTAATAATTATATATTCGCTATGAGACTAGCATTTTTTGGCGCGATTAATTAAATTTGTAAAAAAAAAAATCAGTAATTCTCTTCGTCTGGGTTCTTGGGCCTCTTTCCTCAAAAAACGTGCAGAATGGAATCTACACTAGGAATGGCAGCCCATTAAAAAGAGCACCCAACTCGATTGTCGCTACGCTAGACGTCTGGACTCTAGACCAAGGGCACTGCCCTTTAACCCAAAAGGCGGCTAAATGACGACTTCGCGATGCCCCCCTTGGATTTTTGGGCGAAAACTGGACCACGAAATGGCAAAACTCGCTCCGATCTCCCCCCCCCCCCCCTTTTTTGCTCTGAATTTTTTATGTTACTCCGTAAATTTGGATTCTCTTCCTGTGCCAACTACTCCTGCAGGGAGCACGCATAATGCGCGCCTTTCCCCTTTCGTCCGAATCATCCTACGCTTCTCTATTCCGGCAAGCATCGCCGTCTAATCCTATTAACCATTCCCTATTATTTTCTGAACCCTCCAAGTCGATTTCTCAGCCCTACCTATCTGTTTCTACTGCTACTTCTCCGAAATCATGCTCCTTCAAATTGAGCCCTTTCTTGTATTGTAGCTCAAAATCCGAGTCCCCCGTTCTGGGAGATGACGAAGAATACCAAGACGATGTGAATTTTGTAAAGTATGCATCTGGCACTGATCAGGATGCTTATTCTTCTATCGATATAGGTGAAGAGTCAGAAATTCAAGACGAGGTTGATGTGTACATAGAGGTGAAGAATTTGGAGAAGAACTCACGCAGAATTGAATCGAGGATTCTTATTGACGCGCCCCTTACCACCGTTTGGAATATTTTGACTGATTATGAAAGATTGGCGGACTTCATTCCTGGTCTTGCTGTCAACGAATTGCTTGAAAAAGGAGAAAATTATGCACGACTTTTTCAGGTTGGTAACTTTGGTCAAAGTTCTTAGCAGTTGGTATCTTTGCAGTTTGCAATTTTGCGATTGGCTGCATAGTTTTGGCAGACTATAAATCGTGAATTTATGGTATTTTATCGAGTTAAATTTATTTTTTTAAGGGGTATCTCAAGCTTAGCTAGAACTAATACCCGTCCCGTCCATTCCGAACCTTATAATCTTTGCTGAGGAGAAAAAGAAGTTCTGAGAATATTAGAACTATCTACTAGTCGTGTTGCTTAGTGCTTACTACCCGTATGTAGAGATTGTTTGTGTCAATCTTTATGTGAATTTAAGTCCCGGTGTTTAAATAATGAGGTGAACGAGCAACCAAATAGGCGCACACGCAAAGAATATAGTAAAGAGAGCAAGGGAAAAGGGTAAACGAGAACTCTTTCTTGCTGACAGAATCTTGACCTCTAAGGTATCAAAGATCATATCAGCAAGAAAGAGTTCTCTGAAGTTATTGAATTGCAGAACTGCAGATAATTGACACTTGTAATAAGGATATGAACATCCTACTCAGTGAATGTCATGTACGCTCTCGTGCCACGTTTCAACCAGTTCTCCTTGAGTCAACAGAGGACATGGAAGTCACTTTGGTTTCGATTTTGTAGAGAATCATACATTTATGTACTGAGAGCAGGGTTATAATTGACGTTAAAGAAGAATATGTTACGCATACAGTTAATGTTGCATCATTAGATATAGAAATGAGAGTCATTCTCATGATTGTCTTGTTGAGCTCTCTCAATAATACGGTACATTTCTTTTTCTTGTGTCCCTGAGCTGAAGAATTCATCTTTGGAAGAACTTTCTTCGTTCGTACATTTTGCTTGGAACACATACTTTTTTTACCTTAGTTGAACAGGTTGGAGAGCAGAACCTGGCATTTGGGTTAAAATTTAATGCTAAGGGAGTTGTAGATTGTTATGAGAAGGAATTGGAGATTCTTCCTTCTGGTATGAAGCGTGACATTGAATTCAAGATGGCTGAAGGAGATTTTCAACTCTTTGAAGGAAAATGGTCTATTTTACAGGTAATATGTACTAGATTCTGCAATTTTTCTTTTACATGTTCATACATCAGGAGCAACTTAACTCCCCGCTTGGATGAGAAGAAAAGTTGGGAGGAAAGAAAATGAAGAGAAGAGAAAACTGAAAGGAAAATATTATCACTCTTCCTGCTTGGATGAGTGAGAAAAACATAGAGGAAAGAAAATGTATAAATATCAAAATGACTAAAATGTCCTTATTATAATTAATTGGCAAGAAAACTAAATAATTTAGCAAAAAAATTATTTTTTATGTAAAAATAAAAAGGAAATAATTTTTAACTTAATTAAAATAAAAAGAAATAAATAACTTATGCATTATGTAATATTTTAATAAAATGATAACGAACTCATTAGCATAATGCCCATCTCGTTATTCTACCTCTCCCAATCATATTTGTAGTTTTAATATCTCTATAAACATTGTGCCCACAAGAAGAAAACAAAAGACAAAACATATATTATTATCTACTAAAAACGCGAATGCTTTGAATTAGTATTGTCAAAACATATACCATTCTCCCACAGACATGCACATATATGTATATAAAACGTTGGGGTTAATCATAATCACATGCGTGCACGCGTTTCTAAACTTTCCGCAACTAGATTCTAAAATTGAATATTCAATATCATTAAAATCTAATCAAAACCTGGTGACCAACGTTTGGCGGGAGAGGGCAGTGAGGGAATGATCCGAAATGGTGAAAATCTCTCCACTTGTGGAGAGAAATTTTGAGAGGAAAATAGGGCATGGGGCCCACCACATTTTTCCTCCCACTTTTCTTTTCTTTTCTATTTTCATTCCCATCCAAGCAGGGGAAAAGTTCATTCCTCTCCCATTTTCCACTCCACTTTTCCTTCCTCTCCCATTTTCACTCAATCCAAGCAGAGCATAAGTGTAGTTACTTGCGGCTAAAATTGTTTGGCAACAGCTTACATCTACAAGTGTATTATGTCGCACCTGGGAAACTTGAATCCATGTAGTGAGGGTCTTGGGGTCATGACTTCTGAGTTCTGACAATCTTGGCTGACTATACTTTGAGTCCTTTTTTTTTTTTCCTTTTTTTTTTATTAAGCCTGTTGATCTGACTTTTTGCACGAAGATAGCATCTTCAAATTGAATATGCTCATCAGTTTTGAATTGATTGATGCCAAACAAATTGGAAGACTCGAAAATTTTCATGGTGTTGAAACCATATAACTAAGAGGGTTGAATTATGTTGTTAGCATGCATTGTTAACTCCTTCCACAATGATGGTTTTGCAGTCCAACTCCAATGGTGAGACGTGCGGAGAGTTGGAAGTCCGAGAAGGTAATACAACTCTTTCGTATATTGTTGATGTGAAGCCGAAAATGTGGCTGCCTGTTCGTCTGATAGAGGGTAGACTCTGCAACGAGATAAGAAAGAACCTTGTATCTGTCAGGGATGAAGCTCAAAAAGCTACCTAACTGTGCGCGCACATTAGCTTCATTCATCTTGCTCTTCTTTTTGGATAATTGAAAACGACTGGAAGCACACCAATTTTCTGATAGCAATCGTTGCTATAGTTACCTGTCAGTTTCAACTACGTAAAGTTGATCCCTTGGGCTTAAACACGTTGTTGTTAATTTCTTCAGGGTGGGGACTAGGATTCCGCCGAATCAATATGACTTGGGACCCAGGGCAAACATTATGTGTTCAGCTGTTTATGGACACCGTCTTGTAATAGTCGTCGAAGACATCAACCACCTAGGCTTAGGTTTCCGCAATAAAAGGCAAATTGCACCGTGCATCCATTTTCTGTTAACTTGGAAAAAGCAATCTTATACGGTTGGCTAAAGTTGGGTGAACGGTGCGATCTAACGTCACAATTAAAAGGGCGTGCCCGATGTGTGGAAAGATAGAATAACGAAGAATATGCGATCCAATTGGTAAAGTTATTATTCTGTGTGTGGATCCATGGATAGCTGAACCTTGTCAAGAGGAAGAGGGGGAAGAACAGCCGATGATTGACAGAGATATGGCGATGATGAATGGGTTGTGAACATTGGGGGAAGAAAATAGAAGAGCCGAAAACTGTTCTGAACCCATCCAATACTTCAATTTTCAACTAATCAGATAATGATATGGCTTTTAGGACGAGCCAATGACAGTCCCCAGCTAACGAACTGAAGAGATTATGAGAATGTCCTGATAATGTAAGCTGTTGTGAGGTGATTTATGGGATTTTGAATTGATGGAAGATGTTAATTATTTGCTGTTTGAAAGTTGTGATCATAGTATTAGTTAAAGTGCCTGTCATTGTCTGATGAGTCATGAGGAACGCAGCGTTAATTTCAAGTGGCGTCGAATGAACAACCAGCCGATGCATGGTTGAAGCCTGAAGCAGCGACGTAATACACTGTCCCATTGGACTCCTCCTCTTTGTGATCTACCAATAAAAAAAATCAAAATATATTTTGTTTTTGAATTAAAATTATATTATACTCCATATTATCAGATTCTATGCAGATTTGAGTTTTTTTTTTTTTTGCGTACACTATAATTGCTTTTATAAAACGACACCTTTTGCTGATGACTGTAACCTGGGGCGTGATTCATTGTATGGGACGGCTTTTACAATATAATAAGGGAGCGAGTGGGGGCATATTAATCATCGTCGAAACCAACTGAGCCTCAATGCCTATGACCTTTTGGCAAGCAATGTCCAACTAACACATAAATGGGTACCAAAGTAATCTGAAATTGTATATTTTTTTTATAGCTCAATATGATGAGACGACATGTAGCCGATTTGCATGCTTTTTTTATTCAGAAGTGTAAAAGTTGACATCCAAAAATACGAATCTTGGGGGTGACAAAACTTCATCTCTCTAATTAAGAAAATAAAAGGGCGCCTTATTAATTAATCGGTGAGTGGATTTGGAAGATTATGGGCATCATCGGATCATTTTTTGTTCCTTCTGTGGAGGCTACCCCGTATTATAATAGCTTAGCCTTTTTATGAAACGGCCATTCGCACACCGCATAGTTATGTCTCACATGGAGGGTTCCATGACCATATTGTCGTCTTGTTCTCGATGCTCTGGTTAATTCAGAATTATTTTTATTTTATTTTATTTTTTGAGGGAAGACTCTGGCCGAAGATGCCCACTTCAAGTGCCCCCTGTCTTAATCCTTCCCATAAATAAAATAAACAATAGTTAAGGCATATTTATTATTCCTCACACAAATCGTAAACAACTTAATCAACTATAAATAACGCTACTATAAGATGCCTGCCCCAAGCCAGGCCTTTCGCTTTGTTTCATTCGTTCTTTTTGCCCTTTTCTTTTGAAGATTGAATTATACTCCTACATCATTATTTTTTTTTCCAAAGAGCGTTGAAAGAAGGCCAAATGGGACAGTGAGGTAGGCTGATTGTCATTATTAAGTGGGTTTGGTTAGTCAACATTGGTAGAACAGTTGGTGTTTGTGTTTAATTCCTCCACCATTTCCGTATGATGTTGGATTATCTTTATATCTATAAACAAATAAAACATTCCTTTCCAACTTTTTTTTGTTCTGAAGAAGTAATCAGAAAACGAATATTGGATTTTTTTCCCTGCCTTCAAGTTATTGAAAAGTTATATATATATATAAAAAAAAAGGGGTATTCAACCAAACCAATGAAATGCCACACCAATAAAAGGAAAAACTGGGGAGTGAGAAATCTAGAGACGGGGACAGAAAAACATTATGGTGATGGGGCACATAATTATTACAAGCAGGAATGGTTGAGAAGCTCAAATATAGGTAGCCATGTTGTGTTGATGTAGCCCTTTTGGCCATATTATCCACATCATTGCATCCCTCCATATTCCACCCCTCAAGTCAAACATGCCAGGTCACTGCTTCCTCCACAAGTCAATTCATTTATTGTTAGCAGTGTGTGAATGCTAGCTGATTTTTAATATAAAAGTTTATTTGATATACTTTATTTTTCTTATTTATTTATTTTTAAAATAATCATTATAGTAGTTATACATGTTAAATGTTCATCAAATAGTAGCTTTACCTAATAAATATGATTAGTCAGGTATTTTAAGGAAGATAACACTTATTTATTACAAATGACTAATTTAATAAACTTTCTTAATATATTAACTTAATCAATTTACTCTTATATTAAGAAATGGAGGTAGTAGTTAATATATATCATGGACCAGTTTTCTAATGTGACGCGGCTTCTAATTAATGGAATATTACATCGGCCAAAAACCCCCATTTTAAAAATTAGAAAAAAAGTCTTTTGGTATGAATGGGTATTTATTGCAGCAAATCAGAAACACGCAATGCCTACAGTATGTGTTTATGTATGGTCAACTTTATTTAAAAAAAAAAAAAAAGAACAGTTGTGTTGGTTTGATTATAGTCCCCACATTGCAGGCCGAATATCGACGACAGAGACTTTGAGAGGTTTTAATTTTTAAAGTACTCGGAAAGAATTTTGGAAAATTTTGGGATGCAATGAGCAAAATGGATTTGGCAAGCCACTCCTTGAGTCCAGCCTTTTAATCAAACCAATACCCACGATTCATCTCCAATGCTCGGGAGCCGCATTCATTTCTCAGAAGACGTAATTGATTATGGATTTACCCCCATAATATTATGCCTGTGATTCAACATTGCTGAAAGCATAGTCAAAGTGATAAAAAAGGATTACTTTATAGATTCTATCTCCAATGCTGGAATAAAAACTGCAGATTTGTTTTGTTTGAATTTTATACTGCCATGTCCTGATTCAACATCGCTGAAGATGCAGTCAAAGTAAAAAATAGAATTACTTTATGGATTCTATCTCCAGTGCTGGGAAAAAAAAACTTTAGATATTTGCTTTTTTCCGCTTTGAACTTACCGTGATCGCTACAAGGGAAAATTCGATGCAAAAGAAAATGATAATATGATCATATTTTCTCCTGTGTACTGTCCATTGATTCCTTTATTGACTCCAGGACTACAAATTGGGGACGATTATGTGAAGTTTGATCTGCGAGCATTTTTAATTTCGTATGCTTCAAAATTGATTAAAAAAATGGTCAAAAATAGTTTTTGTGTGGGGCTGATCCGTCCACATCCCGACCATTCAATTTCGTCCATGAGAATGATGATGGGGTCGCTCTGATTTATTGACTTCAACAGCACCAGCACGGCTCCAATCATTCGCTGGAAAAATCATATAAAGTTGTAAATGGAGGAGAAAAAGGGGCGAGCTCATACGCACACAACAGTCTCGGTCTCTACTTTTCAACATGATTATGTAATTTTTTAATTCTAAAGTTTTTACGCTCCCAAACCATTTGAAAACCCCGAGAAAGAGACCCTCCTTGGTGAGCTAAACTTTGATTCTTCATCGTCTGACCAAATCTCTAATTTTTTTATATTGGCAACCAAAACCCCACATTTTTCGTTTTTCTTCTCTTGTCTTATTTATTTGTTCTCTTCATTAGTCAAACGCATACTCATCACTAGTCCATTTTGCCCCTCTTCTCAATTTGTCAGGGAAAAATTTTTCTGCGCCTTCTCTCCTGTTCTTGTTCATCACTCAGTGCTTTGCGGATTTCGAAGCCGCTGGCCATGCCTGAGTGTTTCAATGTTATGGGTCGAATTGTTTTGGGCTTGGTTGCCTATGTTTCTTGGTTAGATTCTGCGAAGAAGAAAATATGAATCCTAAAATGGGTTTCTGTCCTTGTTTCTGATGTGCTCCGTTCACTGTCTTTGGCGCTCTTAGATCTGTTTGTGGAAGCGCTCGATCCACCGCTTCATTTGTGTATTAAGCAGTACCCACAAGGTCAGATCATAACATTTTTACTAATTGTAGTCTTTGCTTTATACATTAATAACGGGCTAAGTGTTAATTCGGGGGACGATTTCGTTGTGATTCACAAATCACACCCGCTGCGCAGAGCGTGTCGCCTTCTTTTATGTTGTTTCTCTGGGAACACTATATGGGTTGCACTGCTTTCAGCCTGGGAATATGGCGATGATGATGCATGGTCACGTGAGCAATCATGGGTTGGTTGAGGGATTGGTGAGGTTTTGGCAGAGTTGGCTTTCTTGTTTATATTTATATTTGTTGATGGTGCTCGGTTACAGAAACCATTTTTCAGCATATCGGAATCAGGGGCATTTGCAATAATGGGTAACGGCACCTCACGTGTTGTTGGCTGTTTAGTGCCATTTAATGGCAAAAATGGAGTTGATTTGGAGTTCCTAGAGCCACTAGACGAGGGATTAGGCCATTCTTTCTGTTATGTGCGGCCATCTATTTTTGAATCTCCTGCCATTACACCATCAAACTCTGAGAGGTTTACTGTTGATTCGAGTACCCTTGATTCTGAAACTTTTAGTGGCTCGTTTAGGCATGACAGTATGGAAGATCCCTCTGGCATACACAAACCGGCCAAGTGCTTCCCAGAGACCACATTCAGAACGATTTCAGGGGCTTCAGTCAGTGCCAATGTCTCAACCGCAAGGACTGGTAACCAGAGTGCATTATTTTCTAGTGATGTCCAAGAGCCAGCTGCATCATTTGAGGGAACCTCTTCATTTGCTGCAATCCCTCTGCAACCTGTTCCCCGTGGTTCTGGAACTTCAAATGGTTTCATGTCTGGACCTCTAGAGAGAGGCTTTGCTTCAGGTCCATTGGATAGGGGTGGCGGTGGTTTCATGTCTGGACCAATAGAGAGGGGAGTCATGTCAGGTCCTCTTGATTCCACTGACAAATCCAACTTTTCTGCACCGCTTGCACGAGGCGGTCGCAGGCCACGCCTCCAACAGCTCATGAGAAGTGTGAGTGGACCAATGAAAAACACTTTCTCCCGGACCTTCTCTAAGCATTCTAGTGGTGGGAGTTGGATGCAGCGGGTGTTCTTTCACCCAGTGACCCAATTGGCTTGGCATTCCAAAGATGCAAAGTTTCGACAAGAAGTCTCTAGAAACTGTATTGAAGTTGGGACATCTGAAGGGGAGTATAAGCATCCACACAATTTACAGTGGGCTCATGGCAAGGCTGGTGAAGATAGGGTTCATGTGGTACTTTCTGAAGAACAAGGTTGGTTGTTTATTGGGATATATGATGGCTTTAGCGGACCAGATGCTCCTGATTTTTTGATGAACCATCTTTACAGATTTGTAGACAAAGAACTGGAAGGGTTGCTTTGGGATTATGAATTTAATCCTGTAGATCCACTTCAACCTCAAATCCCTAAAACTAGAAATGCTGTGGTTGCTCCCGAGTACGGCCAGGAGGAACAGTCAGTCAATCATACTAATTCAAACCAAGATACTCTGTGTTCTTTAGAAGCTTCTTCTGGTTCAGAAAATGCCAAGGAGCAATCATCTTGCGCTGAGATTGTTGAGGAAAACATCGCATTTAAGGTAAATATTGAAAACCAATTACATAATTCTGGAAGTCCCAGTAACTCAGATGCTGTGCTTCCTTCCGTTCCTCTTGGACAGTTAAGTGGACAAGGTAGAAAAAGCATGCGGCTTTATGAGTTACTTCAGATGGAATCTTGGAATGAACGAGATTCCTTGTCTGTCTCAGAACAAGGCAAGGATTCTTATGTTCCTACAGAATCAACACAGGCAGGGTGGATGAGAACTTTTTCAACTAATGCAAAAGAAGATAGTTCTAGACATCTGGACGAAGCGCCCACCACATCAGGGGAAAATGGAGGGATTGGGTCTGAACCAGTTACTCGAGAGCCTGTAACTGCATCTACTGTTCTGGGACAAAGGCAGAATACCAGAAAGTCATTTCTTGGTACCAAAATTAAAAAAATGTACAGGAAGCAGAAGTCCTTGCGTAAGAAGCTTTTTCCTTGGAGCTATGATTGGCATAGGGAAGAAACTGGGGCTGATGAGAAAATATTAGAAGTCTCAGGGCCCATTAGAAAATGCAAATCTGGGGTAGTTGATCATGATGCAGTTTTAAGAGCAATGACTCGAGCTCTTGACAGAACAGAAGAGGCATACATGGAAATGGTGGAGAATAATCTAGATAAAAATCCAGAGCTTGCTTTAATGGGATCATGTGTTTTAGTGATGCTGATGAAGGATCAAGATGTTTATGTCATGAACCTTGGGGATAGTCGTGTAATTTTGGCTCAAGAAAGGCCAAATGATCGTCATCCTAATTCAACTTTTGGCAAGGATGATGTGAGGCACAGAAATCGATCTAGAGAGTCATTAGTACGGATGGAGCTGGATAGAATCTCGGAGGAGTCCCCAATTCACAATCAAAACAGTCATATTCACAAGATGAACAAAAACAGAGAGATAGCGATTTGCAGATTAAAAATGAGAGCTGTTCAGCTTTCCACTGATCACAGCACAAATGTTGAAGAGGTGTGCTTTGCCCCCCCCTTTTTTTCTGGGATCGATAAATGTAAATATTTTTTATATTTATTTATATCTATTTTTAAAAAGGGGTGAGATGAGTTTTGTTTAAATCTTCTAGTTGTGTTTTGAGCGACTAACTGACATGAAATATTAAAAACATGTTCTGCTACCTTTGCATGCATATATGGATTGTTATCTCTAAATTGTATGTTATCAGCTACTTCCTACATTTTTTAATTGGTCATTTAAGGTTTCTGCACATGGATTAAGAAATGCAATTAATATGTCAAAATCTCTTTTACCTTTCCTGTTATGGCCTTGTTAAATATAGTTTGCCTTTTTGGGTTGAGAATTGTGCCCAATCAAAGATAAAGTTATCTTTGGAAAGATAACTATTAATGCTGCCTTGAGCTTCAAAAAATGATATATAAATGGAAAAAAAATAGTTCTCCCAAAGTGATAGATAAAAAGAAAGGGAGGGAGTATATTCTTCATATATACATGCCTGATATTATATTCGTTCTGGTGATGTATGATTATATATATATATATATATATATTTTTAGCACGTTAGGTATGTCAATTCTTATGTTCTGATTTTTTATTTTTTTTTGCTCTAACAACAAAAATGTTATCTTGCACAATTAGGTGCATAGGTGCTGATAATTAGTAAAATCAACAATATTGTGACATTTCAGTGTTACTTTGGTACATTTCTACGTAGATTCCATTTATTCACCGTGGTAGTTGTTCTCAGACACTGATACTCTAAAGCAGTTTTCAATTTGGATCTGTATAGTTCCAAAATTGTTGTTGACCATTTCGTACAGGAGTTTCTCTTGTATGCTATGGACCCTTTATGCGAATTCAGAGAACATTTTATTAAATGTATTTTAAGCCTGAGGTTTTTACATTGTGAAGAAATTTTGACTATACTTTTGTTACAATGTGGCACGAGATATTTACAAAATGTTTTCTAATTTTACTTATTCTCTGCAGGAAGTTTTCAGAATAAGGGCAGAACACCCTGATGATAATCAATCAATCTGTAATGATAGAGTGAAAGGACAATTAAAAGTCACCAGAGCGTTTGGTGCTGGATTCCTGAAGAGGGTCAGTTGATCTACTGACTTTGAGCTAATCTGAAATTTAGTTTGCTGCTGTCCTTTTGTCTATAGTTGTTTAGGTAGGGACTTAGTTTGCTTCCATAATCAATACTGTTTCATTTTTTTTTTCCCCCTTAAGAGGAGAGTAGGGATAGTGGCGAGTGATGACTAAGTTGAGTATCTACAATAGAATTTCAGAGTTAAAATAAATCCTTTTTCATTATGCAAAGGTCTCTCTATGCATGTGCCTCCTGACTATTTCATTCAAAGGAAAATTTTAATTAGGATTTGTGAAAGCTCCAAAGGATAAATTGGCAATGATAGCTTCCTTAGGTTTTCCTTCATTTTCCTTTATTCCTGTTCTCCTCTATGTCCTCTTGATAGTGTGGTTGTCTTGCATGAACCTCAGTAGGTGACAGCTTTGTTTTGTTAGCATTCCTGCCGCTCTCTAACTGATGCACATATTTAATCCTCTTATTTATATATTTGTTATAGAGAAATCATACAAAATCCCAACTCAATTATAACATACTGAAAAGTAAAAGTTGGTCCATGGAAGCTAAATGTGTTGTTTATGGGCTGTTCTGTTTGCTTTCATATCAGTGCTAATTTCATTTGTATGGTTTAGGCGTCTTTTAATGAAGTTCTACTGGAGAGGTTCCGAGTCGATTATGTGGGCACTGCTCCTTACCTTAGTTGCACTCCTTCTATTCTGCATCACCGACTTTCTTCTAGTGATCGGTTCTTGGTACTCTCCTCTGACGGACTTTACCAATACTTCAGCAATGAAGAGGTAGTTGCTCACATTACTTGGTTTATGGAGAATGTGCCTGAAGGCGATCCTGCACAATACCTTATTGCAGAGCTTCTCTTCCGTGCCGCTAAAAAGAATGGTCAGTTGCTTCTCCCTTTTGTTTGTGCCCCTCTGATACCATCATGGCTGTTGATGATAATTTTGGAAGGGAAATACATGTAATTTTAGACAGAATAGAAGAAATGGGCAAATGAGTCGGGTTGAGGTTGTGTTGTGGTAATCTAGGTTCTCTACAGATCTCTGCCTATAAATCACCTAAAAATTAAACTTAAAAACCTCCTGTTTATATTTAAGTTTGACATTAAAGATTAAACTATCAGTTTCTCTCGCGTTTATATAGAAAGGTATAGACGCATAAGGAGATCCGAGTGATCTGTTCACTGTTCAATACAGAAGTCTATCTGTTGTTGTGGGAGAATCTGCAGTGAAGTATACTACGTGATCACGTTGATTACACTATCAGCAGCTGCATGTTAACTGCAATTGATCCGATCTGGTGTGACTCTTTCGGTAACACTAAATCTTGGTTGCGCTCATCCCCTCCTCAGTTTCCTTATGCGTTTCTTCAGATACAAGTATCTCTTAAAAAAAAAAAAATGCTGCGCGTATATATCGTGAGAGGATAGTGTTATTGGCATTTGATAGTTTTGGCGTGCAGAGGTTAGCTACTCTGTCGTAGGGATTTGTTTCCTAGATGAGTGGGAATCTCTGAAATCCTTGGGCGAAGAGACGATCACTGTCACGTGTTATAAATCCTGGGGATGAAATCTCAGCACAGGACAACTTTTTTCTGTATTTTCTTTACATCGATATTAATTTTTTTAATTCCTTTTTCCGTTGTCCGTGCAGGAATGGATTTTTACGAATTGCTTGACATTCCTCATGGAGATCGACGCAAATACCATGACGACGTTTCTGTTATGGTGGTTTCTCTAGAGGGAAGGATTTGGAGATCGTCTGGATGATTTTTATTTTTTTTTCCTTTTCCCCCTTTTATGCTCTATATTTAAATTTTGGCTAGGTGCCTTCATATTTGCACGTTCCCTTGAAAATATAACGATTTTGAGGAAGGAGTAAAATGATTTTAAAAAGTGATTAGTCTGTTGAATATAAGCTTTCTTTTCTTGCATCGATTATCACATACGGAGCATAGTTCGTTACATTAATTCGACGGCATCATCTAATATAACTATTTTTCTTGTTATAAAAGATGCGAATTCTTTTTTCAAGATATACTCCGATCATTAATATAACACTATAAAAGATAGTGAGGGGGGTTTAATACGGTTTTAAATGCAACACCCTCGAGTTATCTTATCTTCCTTGGTTACTCAAACTAATTTTATTGATTGCATATATTAAGAAGATTAGTATTAAATCAATGATTTAAGGGCATTTTAGATAAATTAATACATATATTTAATGAATAACTAATTTAATTAATTCTTTTAAATTTATTTAAGTTAGTTAAGTAGGTTTTATATTACAAAGTAATACATGCCATGCGTAAAATGGGAAGCCAAACTGATGTAGTGAGCTGATCCCGGTGTGCCTTCTTTGATTGAAAGAAGGGGAAATCACAAATAAAGACCCTCGAATTAGCAAAATCACTCTATGGTCACCTGAATAAGTCAAATTACCATGAGGGACCCGGTCTCAAATTGCAATTAGCAAATCACACCTAAAAGACTAAAATACCCTTCAATTACTCAGATTCAATAACGAAGGCAGACATTAGTGAGAGACCTCTTCTTTCCTTCTCCTCGGACTTCCTCTCCCTCTCTTCTTCTTTCTCTTTCTTCCTTGGGTCGAAGCAGCATCTGCGTTGGGTCTCCTCCATGGCGAATGGTCTCATGAGGGGCAAAGAGGGCTTTCGAACTCCTTGCGTAGGATATCAGCAGGGAGAAGAGAGGAAGGTGGTCGGTGACGGAGGAATGGAAGATTTGGGACGATTTTCTGCAATTCTGAAACAAGGAGTGATTACGAACTTTTTGTTGAACAATGGCGATCAACCTTATGGATCGTTTTCTCTGTTAGCAAAGAAGAAGAAGGCTGAGTTCTTTAAGCTGTTGATAGAAGCTACAGGGTTCGCTGGTTTGAATATTTTAAAGATTTTGAAGATGATCTAGTTGAATACTGTCTTCTTTTTGTTTACTTGTATCAGGGAATCGATAATCTTCTCATTTGATTTAGAGTTGCTGGTTGCTGTCAAAACACCTCTGGTTTTTTGTTATTTGACTTACTATTGTTGTAATTTTACTTAGTAGTGTTGTAACTACAGATTGGTTAGTTTGATCACAATAACATGGCGTGACAATCTAAAAATGTCGGTATTTTGTTTATGGGCAGAGCAATGTTAACATTTAGTATTTATAGTTGTAAATGGTATCAATGTAGATCCATTTAATGTTCTGAAATTCATGACAGACCTCCTCATTGACTTATAATTTCACTTACCACAGTTATTATTTGGCTTTCTACTCTTGTCAATTAATTTTCATAACTTGTCATTCGTCTTACTCAACTTGTCATAAATTACATATCAGAACTTGTCACCTGCTAAAGAAATCTGAAAATGTTGTCATTGGAAAAGAGAAAATTAATTTTTTATGAATTGTTTATCAGAAGTTGTCATTCGTCTTACTATACTTGTCATTCGTCTTACTCAACTTGTCACTCGCCAAAGAAATCTGGAAGTAAACGTGTTGAAGGGAATGTAACGATCACCATTGTTGTGATGATAGAAATGCAGTAACAGAAACAGAATTTGTTACATTACATCCACATTGGTGGACATTTTGAAGCAAGTGATGAAGGAGAAGTTAAATATATTGGAGGGAATGTAATAATCACTATTGTTGTAATTTTGCATGCTAGTGTTGTTAATGCAGACTTTTAACTATTATGACAACAATGCAATGATAGAAACATATGACAATCTGATAATTAGAGTCTTTTTATATTGTACAGAGGAATGTTAACATTTTTTGTTAATCATTTCTATATTGTAACAATATAGAGCTATTTAATGTTGTCCACTTAATTAGAAACGTGGTGACAGAAATACAACGACAGAAACACAAAAATTCTATAATTTGCCTTATTGAACTTGTCATCTACTAAAGAAATCTAAAAATTCTATCATTTGAACAAAAAAATTAAATTTGTATAAAATGCTTATTAGAAGTTGTCATTTACCTTACTAAAATTGTTATTTGCCTAACTAAACTTGTCATAAATTGCTTATCAGAATTTGTCATCTGCTAAATAAATCTAGAAATTGTCACTTGAAAAGAGAAAATTAAATTCATATGAAATGCTTATCAGAAGTTGTCATTCGTCTTACTAAACTTGTCATTTGCAAAGGAATTGTACAAATTGTCATTTTAACGTAGAATCTTAAATTCCTATGAGTTGCTTATCAGAAGTTGTCATATACCTTACTAAACATCCTTGGCAAATGACAAGTTCAGTAAGACGAATGACAAATTTAGTAAGAAAAATGACAACTTATGATAAGCAATTCATAAAAATTTAATTTTCTCTTTTCAAATGACAGAATTTTCATATTTCTTTAGCAGATAACAAGTTCTGATATGTAATTTATGACAAGTTAAGTAAGGCGGATGACAAGTTGTGAAAATCAATTGACAAGAGTGGAAAGCCAAATAACAACTGTGGTAAGTGAAATTATAAGTTAGTGAGGAGGTTTGTCATGAATTTCAGAACATTAAATGGATCTATATTAATACCATTTACAACTATAAATACTAAATGTTAATATTGCTCTACCCATAAACAAAATACCAACATTTTTAGATTGTCATGCCATGTTATTGTGATCAAACTAACCAATCTGTGGTTACAACACTATTAAGTAAAATTATAACAATAGTAAGTCAAATGACAAAAAACCATAGGTGTTTTGACAGCAACCAAAAACTCTAATCAAATGAGGAAATTATCGATTCCCACGTACAAGTAAACAAAAAGAAGACAGTATTCTTGACAATCGAACAACACTATATCAAAAACATCTCTGGAAATGAAAGTCGAAAGTCATCAACTAGCATTAATGATGGGTCACCATTTTTTTTGTAATAAAGATTGGTGGGAATGGCTACAACCTTAATCATATTGATGAATGCATAGGTAGGAGATGAATGTTTTTGAGAGGGAGAGGAATAGAAGGAAGAAGAGAGGGAGGGAGATGAAGAGGGAGAGAATGACAAAGACAGAGGGAAAGAAAAGAAGGAAAGAGAAAGAGATGGGGTGATGGGAGAAAGAGAATAAGGGCACTTTTGTCTTTTTAGCCTGATTTCATAATTACAATTTGAGACCAGGTCCCTCATGGTAATTTGGCATATTCAGGTGACTATAGAGTGATTTTGCTAATTCGAGGGTCTTTATTTGTGATTTCTTCAAAGAAAAATAGAAGTAATTAAAAACAATTAAAATATGCCAAGCTTAACGCCACTGTCACTTGAGAGGAGCCTCGTTCCGGCCGTCGCGTGGAAAATTGAGAGAAGTAAAGATTGAAAGCCACGGTGAAACTAAAGCGGTAGTAGAGGCGTCGCATCGCGCTCCAAAGTTCCAACCCCTTCTCCAAGCCTACCGTTCGGATTTGGTGTTTGATGCCTTTTTTCATAATTCATTTCGCTTGTCTCTTTTTTAAAAAAATAATAATAAAAAAGAAAAATTCCTCTTTTTGTTTTTTTCTTCGCTAGCGCCACATGCCATTACAACCGAAAAGAATGTGATTTTAAACTTATACATTATTTGTTTGTAGAAAATAAAAGGATAAGACGCAGGGATCTTTCTATGTGGCCTTTTCATCTTATGATTTAGTACAAAGAAAATGTGTTAACACGTAACAGCCTATGATTGGATAAAACTTGTCTGCTATTCAGCTTACATCGGCCGCCAACCTCTCACACCCTTACTGGAACCTCAAATGAACAATCGCATGTTCCCGCAACTAACAAAGCAAAACCTAGGAGTCCCCGTGAACAGTATTAATCTTAAATAGCAAATTAAATCGCTTAAAAAGGATGCCAATAATCCCTTTCCATTCCTTCCTTGCTTTAAATTAAAGTCTCAAGGACTTTGCTTATAATCTGCCCCATACCCCCATTCACTCTTACCGAACAAACAATCCCACATCTCTGGCTATATATTATACGAACAAATCCCCAGCTTTCCCCCGCCATTCATCATTCCAACATTTTTTCCCCTCTCTTCATCGTCTCAACTCAACCATGTCGCCGGCAAATATTTTTGCTATTTTCTTCATCTTCTTCAGTTCCGTCTCCTTTACCTTGGCTTCTGATCCCGATTTGCTTCAAGACCTTTGCGTCGCTCTTCCCTCTTCAGGTATTGACTGATATTTTAATTTAAGTTCACTGCTCCTTTTGACCGTGTGTGTATAAACGGATAATTTGTGCATGATGATCAGGAGTGAAGGTGAACGGTTTTCCGTGCAAAAACGAGGCAAACGTGACGGCGGATGATTTCTTCTTCGCTGGGATAGCAAAGCCCGGTGTGATAAACAGCACGGTGGGTTCATTGGTGACGGCGGCGAACGTGGAGAAAATCGCAGGGCTTAACACTCTGGGTGTGTCATTGTCCAGAATAGACTACAAACCTGGTGGCCTAAACCCGCCACACACACACCCTCGTGCCACAGAGATGATCTTCGTGTTGGAAGGAGAATTGGATGTGGGCTTTGTGATAACATCTAACAAGTTCATCTCCAAGAAAATCAAGCAAGGTGAGGTCTTCGTCTTCCCCAAGGGCTCGCTTCACTTCCAGAAGAACAAGGCAGATAAGCCTGCTTCTGTAATCTCTGCCTTCAATAGCCAGCTACCTGGTACCTTGTCAGTCGCCGAGGCTCTCTTCAACGCCAAGCCGGGTGTGCCCGACGATGTGCTCGCTCAAACCTTCCAGATTGGTACTAAAGAAGTGGACACAATCAAATCCAAGCTCGCTCCTAAGAAGACTTGATTAATTAGTTGTACACACGAGAGCATGCGTGGGGTCGTCTTCTGAAAGTTTTCCCTTTTCTTTGTTAGATGGTCACTTTTAAAGGGTTTTGGTTGGGGTGTTTCGTCTTGCCAAACGACGTGATATTTGTTTAGCATGAAATAATTGTAATTTGCAAGGACACTCGCACACGCACCATGTGCAGTGTACGTGCCTTATAATAATCGACATATATTTTACAAAGTCCAAATCTTTCCCCTTTTACACTTACATACTTGCCCAGTACTCTATATCTGATCTAGTCCTTCAGCTTTTGGATTTCTTAAGGTGAACTCTGGAATTGTATAGCTAGGCAACTAAAAGTAACCAAAGTTCCCACGAGATCAAAATCCTTTCCTGTCTCATTCGATCAGGTCGGTAATTATAATCAATCAATCCATGTGACCGGATGGAGACATCCTAGCAATACTAAATCTAGAAATAATTACCCTTGTCGCTTTGATTATAAGCTGTTAACAGCCAACTAGTCTAATAATAACGTCATTTGTCCTGTTTGAATAGAGTCTCAAATTTAATATTGGAGAGAATCTTAAAAGTTGTGATTATTTAGGGAAAAAATACTAAAATAAAAATTTAAAAATGCGAAATTAAAAAAAATGATTTAACTTTATAGTTTTGATAGGCTTATTATTAAAAAATTCTAAAATAAAAATATTTTTCTGAGAAAATAAATTAATTAGTTTTATTTATTAATTTAATTAGTTAGAATGAGATTCTAACTCTACAATTCAAATTAGTTTACATCAATTAAAATAAATCTTAGATCGTTTCATTAAATAACGAGAAAATTATAGGATGTGATGAGACTGTGAGGGAGAATATGGGAGATTTAGTTAGGAATAATTTAATATTTTTGAAAATTTTCAGATATGACTCGTGTTGTGTGACGGTGAATTTCATGACAAAGCGGTGCTTTTATGTGAGACCCCGACGTTGAAACGGGGCGTTTCACTCTGGCACACACGACGCCTGGAGTTTGCTGTTCGGACCCCCGAGGATGGAAGATGCGAAAGACAAGCCACAGCGAAAGAAGAACTATAGAAAGAGAAGTGCTTCAATCGAAGAGACAGAGAATAAAGAAGGAGAACAGTCTAAAAGAGAAGAATCGATGATGAACGAGATAGAAGGTTCTGCAGTTTGTTCTTTTTGAGTTTTCATTCCATAATTATGAAGAATATAAATTTAGCATCTGGATTTTAATTTCAAATCAAATTCCTATTAATATTTATTTTGATTCAGTTAGTCTGAAAAGAAATATGACAATGACTATATAGAATGGCATTGGAAGAGATCAAACTGCTCCAGAAGCAGAGGAAAGGAAATCTGGGATTGCTGCGAACCCTACTTTGCCAACGCAGAGTGGAACTGGCTCCGGTTTAGCTGCGAAAGCCGCTGAAAAGAACGACGGAGACGGTGGCGATAAGGACGAGCTTTTTCTTCAGGATACCTTTGCTCAAGAGACGGCTGTCATGGCGGTGCTTTATGTGAGACCCCGACGTTGAAACGGGGCGTTTCACTCTGGCACACACGACGCCTGGAGTTTGCTGTTCGGACCCCCGAGGATGGAAGATGCGAAAGACAAGCCACAGCGAAAGAAGAACTATAGAAAGAGAAGTGCTTCAATCGAAGAGACAGAGAATAAAGAAGGAGAACAGTCTAAAAGAGAAGAATCCGATGATGAACGAGATAGAAGGTTCTGCAGTTTGTTCTTTTTGAGTTTTCATTCCATAAGTTATGAAGAAATATAAATTTAGCATCTGGATTTTTAATTTCAAATCAAATTCCTATTAATATTTATTTTGATTCAGTTAGTCTGAAAAGAAATATGACAATGACTATATAGAATGGCATTGGAAGAGATCAAACTGCTCCAGAAGCAGAGGGAAAGGAAATCTGGGATTGCTGCGAACCCTACTTTGCCAACGCAGAGTGGAACTGGCTCCGGTTTAGCTGCGAAAGCCGCTGAAAAGAACGACGGAGACGGTGGCGATAAGGACGAGCTTGTTCTTCAGGATACCTTTGCTCAAGAGACGGCTGTCATGGTCGAAGACCCCAATATGTATGAACATATATACTTTTTTCTCATCTCATTCATATGCTGTCCATCCTTACAGAGAATAAACACTACATCAGTTTAAATGCTTGACGATCTTCGTGTTTCCTTCATGGCCAAGTTCTGCCTAGAAATCTACCAGATATTTTCTGCTTTTGCATTATTGTATAGGTCATTATGTCAGAGGCACCCCAATGTGTTTTCTTCATCATCGTCTTATTATGGAACAGTCTAGCGTCATGTTCCAGTCTATTACTTGTTTTGTTCAGTATATTATCGCATGAGTTTCTTTCTTTCTTTCTTTCTTTGGTTAGCAAATAAGTACTTTTTTTGTTTTTTTGCCTTACTCTGTTTGTAGTTATAAATATTACGCTGCAGGTCCCGAACTTGTTAGTTAGTATTGATAATTGTACTTTTTTTCCCTTAATAGGGTCAATTATATCGAACAAGAATTGGCAAAGAAGAGGGGCAGGAAGATTGACAAAACAGATCAAGTTGAGAGCGAATTGAAACGTGCTGAAGACGAACTATATAAAATTCCTGAGCATCTAAAAGTGAGTGGTTCACTTTCCTACTAGCATGTCGCCATCATCCCATTTTCATTCTGTTTACTTGATGCCGGCTGCTCTAAAATAAACTTTGCATGAATGAATTGTCTCGTACCCAGTGTCTGATACTTCGGCTCCAGGCCTCCAGCTTATACTTTTGATATGCATTGCATTTCGGGATGTTTATTAATTTTCTTTTATGATGGCATGTTCTGTCAGGTGAAAAGAAGAAACTCAGAAGAAAGCTCTACTCAGTGGACTACTGGTATTGCTGAGGTTCAGCTTCCAATTGAGTATGATTTCTTCAGACCTAACGGAATGTAGTGTGATTTGGATTATCTGTTAAGGAAGTGTAATAATGTGGCAATGGTTGGACAATTTTCTTTCAATTCAAACATTTGCTTGAAGAGTGATCCATGTGGGGATAATTGTATATGTAAGTTTAGTATAACATTGTTGTTTGTGAGTAACATTCAGATATTAAGGACGTAGGCTTTTATCCGAAAATTGGGTTTCCATTGACTTGATGATTTTGAAGATTCGCCTTCTTCTTGTTGGTTTTTTGGTTTTTTTTTTTTTTTTTGGGAGGGGGGGGTGTTTACGTGCTGCCAGCGGCATGTCTCATTGTTTGATTTTTATGTTTTGCAGATACAAGTTAAAAAACATTGAAGAAACAGAGGCTGCCAAAAAGCTTATACAGGAAAAGAGACTTATGGGTCGGACAAAGTCAGAGTTCAGCATTCCTTCAAGTTATAGTGCTGATTATTTCCAGCGGGGCAGGGATTATGCTGAAAAACTTAGAAGAGGTTACACTTTTTGATTAAGCGATTTTGTATGAAATGTGTTTACTTGTTTTGTTAGGTTGCATTGTGAACCTTGATTTAACTGCAAATATATTTGTTTTGCTTTTATTAGCTCACTCACTTTAAATCATTCTAGTTGCTGACAACAAATGATTATCTTGCAGAACATCCGGAGCTTTACAAAGATAGAAGTTCACAGGATGATGGTGCTGGATCCAAGCAAAACAATGCAAGCACTGATGCAGCAGGGCAGAGGCAAGCTGCAACTGATGAATTCATGCTAGAGCGATTCCGGAAGCGGGAACGCCACCGGGTAATGCGGAGATAACATGCCTGTTGTAAAGTGTGGCATGTTGGACGGAGCATAATCCCAATAAATTTAGCAGTCCACTCCAACCAGCGTTGAATAACATGACTTCCATACTATGCATCACTTCCTGGCTTTTTGGTTATTCAACACTATTTAAGATTGTATTGCTGCCAATGATATAAACTCTGAAGCTCTCCATTTGGTTTTTTATCCACGGACTGCATAATGCAGCTGATTTCTAACTGGCATATGCTGAGAGGCTATAATATGTCCCGCCAGTTGATCGTTGATAACATACTGTAAGATATGTACTATGTAAGATTTTGACAACAAAATGGCAGGTTAGTGACGGTGTTAAATGGTCACTTTGTTTTGGTCCCAAAAAGAAGTTGGTCACTTTGTTAGGTTATCCTTTTCTTTTATTTTGGCAAGTATTAGGCAATATCAGCGAATTGCACTTGAGTTTGAGATGGTTGAATTTGCAACATGAAAGGAGCATATTCCAGGCCTCCATCATTTGTAGTTGAACTGCTTCTTTTTTCTCTTCCTTTCTTTCTTCCTCCTGGAGTATCTTCTATAAATACCACATCAACCTTCCTACGTAAACACACATTTCAATCATTTATCTTCTATAAATTATCAACCTTCCTTAACACACATTTCAATCATTTATTGAATTTACCCTTTTTTCAATTTCTGTTTCGTCTAACACTCCTGGGTAAACAGAAAGGGAAATGAAGTGCATATTTACACCTCGTTTGCTGATTCAACATTAAATTCATTTTCTTAAATTTGTGGATTGATCAAAAAACAAAGATATTTATGAATTGATTTTATAGAAGACTTTGAACCCTTGATAGTCATGCACACTTCAATCATTTGTATGAGTCCCATGTGCTTTGACTTTTTGTTGTTATTATTTATAAGGATATTTTAATCAATTCTTCCTCGTTTTTATTTATTTCAACAATATTTTTCATCTGAGCAAGTCTACAAATAAAATAATGTTCTTATTGTCGCCTTCAAAATAATTGAATATTAATTAGATACCACTTAAAAAGTTGTTGGCTTGTTAATGATAATTCAGTTGTTTTAATAACTAGCAAATATAAAAGCAAGGGCTAAATAAATGCAAAGAATAGATTGAAGGAGTAGGCAGAGAAGTGAAAGTAACATTTGCTGGGAAAAAAAAAAAAAAAAGAACGAGAAACAAAGAAAGGAAACGTACCGTCTGAAGAAAACGGGAACGATTCCGGCCCTGTACTTGGCGATGGTCTCGAAAGCAGGCTGAGACATATCAAAATGAGGTCTGGGAGGATTGCACCAACCTCCATTGTCGTTGGGGAGAGCGAAGTTTGGAGGACAGAAATTTGTGGCAGTGATTGTGATGTGAGTCCCTCTCAGGCACCACTGTGGCGCTTGCGTTGCGTCACACACTATCTGATAGCACCCACCGCACGCCTTCCCGTCGTTGAACAGAGCTGTGCTTAACGCTGCCGTTTTTGTCCCGTAGCCATCCGTGTATAGATTCCCATAACCACATGCACCTCCTGCAATATTCATGTTTACGAGTCTTACTAATCGCTCTTCATCATTTATAGTATAACTGAAACGGAAACTAGTCATGAAGAGAGACTGGACGTGAACTTACCCATTGTGCCAGAGGCGTCGCTTCCTCCATAGAAAGTTGCATGTGCTTGCAGCCAGCCGGCACCGGCTGCTGTTCTTAGCTGAGAGGTGGATAACCCAACCAACAATAGCACAACACTCAATACTAGCTTTTCCATCCTCTCTTTCTCTCTCAATATCTCAGTTTGACCAACAAGAAGCTTATTGAGTTGTAGCAGAGTCCTAAGGGCTATTTATAACTACAGTTAGGGAAATTATGCAGGGGAAGGGGGAAAAAAAAAAAGAAAAGAAAAATAGAGGTAATTAAAAGCATATGCGTTGACCGAGAAGTTCCTCTCCAATATAAAAAGAAATGGGAGAGTTATGCATTAAAGAAATAACAAATTGTCAATGACCCTCACCCCATTCAAATTACACAGCGACGCTTGATTGAATGATTGGTATCGATTTTTTTTTTTGGCTTTCTTGACATAATGGTTGATATCAATTTAAGGCATCTGGAAACTAACTAATCACGTAGATGCTACTTCCAAGTTTGAATGGTTCAATGGATATAACTACTCGCCTGGTTTGTGCAAGGTCAAGGATGCTTTCCCTTGCTATTCTACAAATCCATTGCAAAAAAGATGTTCATCCCGCCTTTAATAATTATAATTTTAATATCACCCAGTAAGATTAATAATCAGCAAAAACTAAATCACAAAACATTAACCAAATGATACACGATACACCATAAAGCCGGTTTTTAGATGCACATGACGGGCCATTGCTATCGACTATCAAGTGGCTATCATGTCGAAAAAGTCAAAGGTTTCATATAGTAAACCATTCACTTCTAAAGATCTAGTTATGCGCTTTGTCTGTAATAGAATCCACGATTCCGTAGTACGTAACGGGTACAATTATAAAACAATTCACGGAGCATATATAGCAACACGCAGCAAACTACTAAATAATGATTAAAAATACATGTTGGTTGTGAGAGAGATAGTCTAATCATATGCTGTATAGTAGTCCATACGAAAGGCCAATTAGTACACGCAATAGAAAAGAACAAGAAACCACATGTTATATTTGTAATGGATGGACGCGACTTAGAGCGTCAGAAGTAACATGCAAGTACCTTAGGATGTGCAAAAGACGCGGCTTGTTTATCAAGAAAGGGCAATTTTATATGAGCAGCTACGAGAGAAGACGATGAAGTAGTCAGCCTTAAAAAATGTCTGAAGCTGAAAATTAATGATGGCTTATGAGTAGATAAGCCATATATTGTGCCATGTCTCGTGGAACTACCATCCGTAAGGCACATGGCTGACGGGACGCCGCCTCTGTCCAGGTCCTCGTTCATACACGTACCCACATTGTTGAGCGGCAGCTGCACATGCCCTCTTTCTATACATTTCTTAAAATTATGTTCAGGTATACATAGGAATGATTTAAAGTTTCTAAGAATGTAGAAGGAGGTGAACAGGTTAGTTAGATTAGAATGGGATGTATAAATGAAGCGAAACTATGAAGTTCATCAAGCGTAAGTGATTGCATATATATATTGAGTTAGGATCCAATCAGAACAAGCTGAAATTTAAAATGAGATCAAATCAAGTCCTCTCAAAAATAATCAATGGGATAACCGCACAAGCTCAGAATCACACACACACACTAGAACACTTAAACAGTCTGTGAATCTCCTTCCAGAAATTTCGCCCCTGGTATATTAGGAAAGATGTATTGGTTTACTTAGTGGACATTCAAATTAACCGATTTTTTCATCTCAACAGAATGCCGTTCTCCGTCATTTCCCTTTTTATATTGATTTAACTTTGTGCTACATACGAGATATAACTACAAAACCAATGACATAAACAAAGGCTCACTAAAAAATCGAACTAATGAAAGCACCCAGGATAGCATTTGATGTATACAAGATGTCCTAGTCAGTAATCGCAAAGTGGACCTCAACTTGGTAATTAACCAAATCCGCAAGTAAAAGTGGTGTATATGTGATGCCAACATATAATCTCAAATCCAACTTAATCTGGAAGTGGTGTCGGTAAAAATCACAACATGAATGAGCATTGATTTAGTTTCCCTCTCCCTCAACCCTTTTTATTAAGAGTGAAGGTCGGTTTTACAGTTTTAGCAGCAGCAAGGCTCCTCTTTTTCTTTTTCCTTTTTTTTGTAATGTAAGTTTTAATACTGAGCTAAACCTCTAATTCCAGCAGCACCTTGTGATAGATTGCACTACCCAAGGCCAAAAGTCACAATATAAGACTATTCAACTAACGTCTCTAGTTTTCTGCCGTCTTCCTCCATGTGCTTACACTCTTATTGTATATTCATTGCAGTTACATGGTCTAAAGTCTTCGGGCTGACAAATCATCTGATTATGCTTACAGTACAAAGCCTCTCAACCACCCCTGTGCTAGCTCTTGAGTAACCTTGTTCCCATTATAATTATACCATATGTTTTCTGCCTTGCAAGGTTATCCGCTACCAATGCGATTCCATGGTCACATGTTTTAGCAACATCACAATTTAAATTCATCACCATAAACTATCGTTAGTTCTACCCACAATGTGGTAAAACTTGCTTTTGCCTACTTTAGAGCTCGTTCAATTTCAACCTAACCCAGCAGCAAGGTTGAATGCGAAATAGAATTTTCGCATCAAAGCAGCAACAAATCCAACACATCACATACGGGGAAATCAATCAGTGTGGTCAGTTCTCTTTTCTTTTGTTGATCACACATGTAGATTTCTCATCCCAGTCATGATAGCACAATCTAGTTTGGCGCCAATTTAAAACTATACATAGGAAAAAATGTATTCTGATTCTCTAATTTTATATAAGATTTCATTTTGTTCTTTTAACTTTATAACTAATTTTTTTTAGTGGAAAAAGATTATATTGATCAAAGTATCTACAGACAGTACTAATTTTTTAATCCTCTAACTTTGATATCTTAATTTCGAATAATGATTTTTTTATGCCAATTATTACTATTTTTAAAAAAATAAAATGTAATATATTAATATTTGTGAATATTTTGTTAATATCTAAAATTTTAATGTCAACATTTTTTGTTAATAAAACTAATAGTATTAAAATTAGACATTTCATAAAATTAAAGAACCCAGATAAAATTTCGTACAATTTTAAAGGACTAAAGGTTTAATTTGGCCATATATATATATATATATATTAAATTTCAAAAAGAGTTTAAAATTTGTGTGACCACCTTTTGGCGATCGCTCTGAGGTTAATGATAATGCAGCCTCGTATGGTTAAGGCATAGATGGGTACTTGAACAGTTAAACATGGATGACTAAATTCACTAGCCTCTTGAACATACTTCTGAGGATAGCTAGCAAAAGATAAGCTTAACTCTAATATCAAAACCGTGGCAACAACCAGATATAATGTCCTTTTTTTTGGACTTCATGATATATAATATCCTTATCACACTGATGATTGCAAGTTCGAAATGCGTTGTTTCGGCAAAATATGTAATAAACGAATTAAGAACATAACATCGTTGTAGTAGCATGATGTGGTTCTTGCGTGCCGGAGATAATGATTTGAAGTGTGCCCCATATGCAACTGTAGGAGAGACGAGCAGAATACCAACCGAATAAAAAATTAGTCATGTTCTAGGACTTCAACTAGAAAGTCTAGGCGTGACTATATGAAAAACAGAACAGACAAAATATGTGCTCTTGGCATTTGAATCTTTAAGGCCGGAAAGGTAAATTATGGGCATTCCCAGCAACATATTATGAGAAATCCATGAAGAATTATAAGAGTGGGAAGCGTCTACGTGGCTACCTGATGTATATATCCAATGTGATTATTCCAGTGGTAATTATAAGATGTTTACCCCTTATCTTACACCCAATCAAAGCAACACCAAACTGATTAGGTTATCCGGCCTGAGCGTTGAAAATTTGAGAGCCACCCATGTACATGTTCAATCAAACCACAGATAATGATGAGATTGATTCCTTATATTTCAAGACAACGGAGCAAAAAGATCCATACTCATTAGTTAGAAAAACCACGTATACCATCTCAATGAAAACCCTTTCAACAATGACAGGTTTTGGCAATGCTAAAATAATCAGCGGTAAATTGGTCAAGGCCCGCTGAATTCAAGCAAACACTATTTTAAGGCTGAAATGCATAAAATGCGAGGCAATTTACCAAGCGTAACTTTTTCATTGGACGGAGTGTGTATGCAGTAGGGCCGAGCGATTTAGGTCCATAGATTTAAACAAGGAAAAATACCTTTACTAATCAATATGAGTGTGCTGAAGCAAATATCGAGCATTATGCAGAACAATATGGGCTTCCTCATTTGATGCATCAAGTGTCCGTAATAATTTGATCTCTTCCTGCCATTTCTCAATTTGCTCCTTATGAATCCTGCAGATGAGGCAGTTAAGGCTTTATTTTTGTGGGAAGGGGTGGCGAGGAAGAGCAACTATAACGTTAGAGCTCACATAATCAGTCTCTCTTCAAATTCATTGCTGAGTTCTTTAAACATTGTTTTCCCGGATTCCAGTAGCTCTGACACCTGCAAGGACCATTAGAATCATTCAGCCGGTCAAACAACACACGTAGCAAGAAATTATGGCCACACAAATCACAACTTCAATTTATTTGGTCATCTTAAATCCCATCAGATTTATCAAGTCCTGTAACATAGGTAATGTCCCAAAGGTAAATTCCGTTAATGATTATTATATAGAGGAAATTGAATCTATACTCAGGGTATAACTACTATAGCTACCCTCTGTGTGAAGTTTTCAATCTTCTCCAGAATATTGGAGATATTGAGCTCCATCTCTTCGGATCCAGCAATATTCATCTCAGATTCTTCCTTTCCTTCAATCTGTGCTCCTGCTTCATCTTCCTCCTCTCCCATCTAATTATTGTAAAACATTCAACAAGGCGAAATATAGTACAAAAGACTTCAAAGAAACAAAACAAAAATGCACGATAAGGAAGACTGAAAGACGGAGTAAAATACATCTGGTCTCATGCGTTTTCTTGCAGCTTCACTCCCAGGGCTTTCCATTTCTATTGATGTTGGCTAATGCTGCAGATAGGTTGCACTAGCAAATGTTAAAATCGGAACTATAACGAGGACTGCCTTTTAAATATACTAACCAGAAATCGACTCAAAAAATTCTTTCAATATAGAAATTAAAACATAAAAGAATTGTCATATATTCATATATAAAAGTGAAGTGAAATTAATCGCTGCGTAACTATGACATCATCAACAGGTTTTCATGGCAGGCAAAGTATCTTTACTGCGTGTATATATTATAACTGCCATAAATTCATCAAAGGAAGTCAAAGACAAGCTATCCGTCCTTTATTTGTGTATTTTCAGTTTGGTGGTAACAGGAGACAGGAGATGGCATTTTGCATCGCCTAAACTGAGAATCCATAAGATTTTGGAACAGAGCGGCAACGAAAAATAATTCTGAACATAACTTCGCAACCGGCAGAATTCGCGTAAAGTCGCCAAGTATCCTGGCGAAGACTAATTAGAGCTGGCATGATTTCCATGAGAGCGCTAACTTAAAATAGCATCGTTATGAAATCAAAGAAGCGAAGGGAAGCTGTATGATTCCTTACATAATTAGAGAGAAATATCACGGAAAAGAAAAAGATCATGGAAGACGAAATGCTGATCGATTTGCTTTATAATTTTGAAATCCACGAAGAACAAAAACGAATAAAAAAGGTTTTACGTTATACCAATCGCTTGTTCCGATTGATCTGATATAAACTTTTTGGCGCGCTTGGAAGAGTTGCTTTGCCTGTTTGTAATCTGAGAAGTCGAACGGGTGAGTGTGATTTTTACGCCAATAACAAATCATTTAAATGTGAAGGATGCGCGCGTTTTCGACAACCGGAGAGACCAGATGGGCCATCACTAAATGGGCTCTACATTTTTTGAATGGGCCCTGTACAAGTGGATCCAATTGATTTTTGTAATCCAATAATCATATTCCCAGGTCATTCAGCTCGCGGAAAGACAGTGTCCTGATTAGGAGGTATTTGGTAACCTCAGAAAGTGTTTTTGAAAAATATTTTTTTATAAATCGAAACAAATTTTTTTACATATTTATTTTGTATACCTTAAGAGTATTTTTAAAGTCATGATTTTGTTTCTACCCAAACACCTTCTTAGATGACGTGTCTGGGTCAATGATTTTATTTAAACAGAGGCGTGAATCAATCAATTAACATAAACGAATAAAATGATACCAATATGGTGCTAAGAAGGCACTACTTCCTGTTATTGATATAAAAACGAGTTTGATATTTAATTTCGTCTAAAATATAAGACCCAAATCCATTTTGTCTTTTATATTTATCTTTTTTTTAAAAAGTAGTTCTTGTAGTAGTTGCACATATCAAATATTTAGTTTTAACTAAGTAGGGAGGGTATTTTAGATAAAATAATAATTATTTACTATAAATAACTAACTTAATTAATTTTCTTAATTTATTTAAATTAATTAATTAATTTTTATATCAAGGAACGAAGGCAATATAATCGTTGAAGAATGAGAGACGTATAACAAAATACTTAGGGATGTTTGGTTTGGCTCTTTTCGAAGAGGTTAGGTAATATGAGCGTAAAATGGTTGAGTGAGACAAGAAAGGGATGTTTCAGATAAACTTCCTCAGGTTAAAGGGAGATATGGGAGGAGATTGAAAATTGCTTCAAGTTGAAGCGCTCTCTCCCCCAGCTGAATGTGGTAATAACCGAACAGCAAACTCCCATGTGCCTTAGTTATTCCTACGACCTTTTATTACAAAATATACGTGCCTTTTTTTGTTGGTTTTATCCAGCTCCAATGTAAGTGCCACCACTGCAATTCTCCCGCAATTTCTTCTGTGAGGGTTGAAAGAGAACCCAGTTTCTAAATGGTAGAACTAAAATCTCTAGCTTTTCACATAAAAAATATTTTTGTAACAGGAAAACCGTTGATAAATTATCTTGAATTTAAATTCTATATTTATTTAAGTAAAATTTAAATGAAAACGTAAAACTAAAATATATTAAATCTGGACTTTCAGTTTTGATCTATTCGTCACTTTTGTTGAATACTCGAGCAGGGACTAGCTTGGTTTAACACCCCCATTTTTTTAGATAAACAGGCGGGGCATAGCTTCTGAGGAGGGATAATTATTGGGCTTCAAAGGTCAGCTCACGGAGGGAACAACCGAACAAGCACGCAGGGCGATACTTAGGTATCCCTTATTTAAATAATATAAATAATATTATTTATATTATTTATATTTATAAATAATATAAATAATATTTTCTTTGGCAAAATAAATCATTTTCCTAAAAGCATATTTATTTTATTAATATATATACACACTAATTTCTTATTATTTATATTATTTATGTCATATTTATTATGTTGCCAAAATATATATTATTAATAAATTTATTACTTCAAATAAACATATATTATGAAATATATATTATATGTAATTATCATTTAAACTTATGTCCTTTTAGTAATTTTTACATATCAAAAAGCACTTCTGACAATAATTATCCAAACACTCTCACTTTATCAGAATCACTTTTCCAGAAAATCTATTCTTTCAAAATCTATTCTCTCCAGAATCTATTCTCCAGAAGCTATTCTGCAAACCATGGTTTTGCCTCATCCAAACACCCCCTACGAAGACACTGTACAAGACTGCGATACTATGAAGGCATATCCATTAACGAGCGGGAAAGAGAGAGAGAGAGAGCGAGAGAGAGAAAGAATCATAAGTGAAGCATACAGGGCACATAATATAAGAAAACATTTTATTTTTATTTTTATTTTAAATACAAAAGTTCTCTTCACTTTATCTCTTATATTTATTTATTTTTTAGACCTTATAGATATTTTTTTAAGATAGTCCTTGTAATAACAGCAGTTCTAACTAATATATTTGATTAGTAATAATACTTTAAAAAGACAAAACTTATTTATTATAAAAAATTAATTTAACTAATTTTATTAATGTATTTAAATTAATTAACTAATTATTATATTAATCACATGAGGTGGTAATTTATTGAGAAGGCAAGTGGAACGAACCAAAATCGGCGTATGCGATAAGAAAAACGACATCTGCCTCATTGCCTGCACGCCTCTCCAACACCAACGGCAGGAATGAAAGACGAAGCCGATGGCGGAGATTCGCATTGTTATGTGTAACTGCTATTTGCCAGTAAGGGTGAGCAACAAACCCATTACCCGCTAGCCCGCCCATGACCCATGAAATTTTTACCCATTTAAACCCACCCAATTAGCCTAAATAAGAGATTATAAACGGGCGGGCTTAAATGGGCAGGGTAGCCCATTAAACGGGTTAGGCTATGGGCAAGGTATTGGGCTGCCCATACCCGCCCGTTTAAGTTTTAATTTTTTAAAAATATTTTTCTTCATTTAATTGATGATATTGTTTCTTATTCATCTTTTATCAAACCTTCATGCTTGTCTAAGCTTTTATTTTATCCTTTAGGTGAAAGTTGGAACTTTCAATGTTTATGAGACTTTATGATTGGTGACTACTTTTATGATTTTATCATACTTTGATTGTTTGCAAATCTAAGTGAGGTTGTGTGATTGAATATGATTGATGTTATTTCATATTTGATTTGCTATTTGGCATGCAAAATTTATTGACAGCTTCATAAGGTTACATATAAAAAATAACTATACTGAAAAAAATTTAAAAAAAATAAATGGGTTACCTCGTAATCCGGTTAGCCCAAACGGGCTGCCCCGTAACCCATTTAATACGGGCTAAATGGGCTACTACCGGGTTATGGGTTAGCCCATGCCCATTTATGAATAAATGGACGGGCTATGGGCTAACCTTCGGGTTAGCCCACCCCGCCCATTACTCAGCCCTATTTGCCAGCGAGCAACGATATATCGATATTCTTTAAAAAAAAAATTACGAGCAAATCGTGAAAATTAATCTATGAGAGAGAGAGGGGGGGGATTATTTAAAACGTCACTGTATAAGCTGTCTTGTCGCGCTTTGATGAGTGCACTTTCTTTTTTTCTCAACCTCCTTTTTGCTCTCTTTAATTTCCCTCTTCGTTTGACCTCCATCCTCGTTAACTCGTTTTTGTCCTTATCCTCACGTTGATTGATTAGATACTTGGCTAAGAGAAGTGGTTTCCCATTAAAGGTTTCTGTTCACTTTTTGTTCTTGGGAGAAGCGTACGTCAAATAATTTAAAGAATTAAAAACCAAAACAAAGGTTACATAAAAATGTAAAATACAAATTGCCCTTATCATTTTACAATTTTTATCAAACGCATATTTTTTCACTTCAGTGTAATTTAAATTATTTCGATTAAAACACTCTCCATTAACTTGAAGTAATATAATATATATGTGTAATTTACTTAAAAGCAATTGAACTGAAATTTGTTCCAAAAAACTGAATTCCATTGCACAAGTATAGCTTTCCTTAATTATTGTAGTAAAAATTTAATGCGGCAATTACACACATATGGAGTACCTACTATATGTCGTATTGAATTAGCAGATGCAGTGCGTTATTTCATGCCATCCTAGCTCATCATTTTTTAGAAGCCTTTAGCTTCAAATTAAGGCAACATATTTCTGTTTTATTTCTAACAAACCCGCAATTATGTATGTAGCTTCCAAAACGACGTATTTTCTGTTTGTTTGTCACAACAGAATAAATTGTATAAGCAAAAGCAAGATTCCCGTAACACAAACGAAACCTTTATGTGGTCCATTATATTATTGCTGATAAGGTAGTTTCTTCATATAATTCTTAAATTAAAACGAATAATAATACAATACAGTACTAGTGGCAAGCATGAAAACACCAACGATTGTTAATTTAAGAAACCCAACGCCTAATAAGTACTGAGGTTTAAGTTCGAATATATTCACTGAAATATACCACCCTTGCATTTGGACATTAAACATCAGCCAGCTGGCTTCTCTCTTTAATTCCTAATAACGGCAGCCATATTCCTAATTAAATATGTGAATGGAGGTGGAACAAGATATGCATATACACACATAAATCAAAGTAGAACAAAAACGCGGTGAAATATTGAGAAATATGCATCAGATAATCGATGTGCATGTGTGTGAACACGGCATAGCTATCCGTTAATTCCAAGCGAGAGACGCAACCTTATATGGAGTGGGGCCAAGCGACTGAAGGATTTAGTTTCTCTTTTGATTGGGTTCGCCCAAACCATATCCAATCACACGCCTTCATGCCCCAGAGGGACCAACCGTTATAGTAATCTGCATGGCTGCAACTATGACCTGTGAAATAGACACTCACCAAACCTAGTCTTATCGATTCATATTGCTCTTCTTTCCTCCTTCTATAAGTATGTACCCCGCCATTTTCCACAGAGACAGAAACTACTCAAAAACATAAAAGCGCAAGTGCATGATAACTACTGCTACCAGCTCTTTACCATTTCGATTCACTTTTCGCAATTTCTTCAGTTTGGTACGTTTTCTTAAGCAGCAGGAGACTAGCTCCAAGTTCCCTCTAAAAGCAGTTGAATTTTTCACCTAACGAGCCAAGTCAATTATTTATTGTAGCGTCATCATATATACATTCATGTGCATGCCTAACATTCGTTAGACTTGCTCCTTTTTTTTTTTTTCCCCTCGAAAGAAGAAATCAAGTACGCAGTACAAATATATCGTTTGAGTTTGTATATATTTGATTAGGTTTTGATTTACCGGCGTTTTCAGGAGTAAGCTATGGAGTGGAATACGTGTTTGAGGAACCTGGTCTTGATGGCTTTAACGGTGGCCTTGGTTGTTGCAAATGGGAATTGTTACAAGGGTGGTGGTTATGGTCACTCAGGCAGCAGATTCGTTCAACGAGATGGAAACCATTTTACGATGAGTGGGAAGAAAATCTACCTGAACGGGTTCAATGCTTACTGGCTCATGTACATGGCATCTGACCCATCCACGAGATCCAAGGTCACTGCCACTTTACAACAAGCCTCATTCCATGGCTTGAACGTGGCTAGAACCTGGGCTTTCAGCGATGCAGGTTACAAGTCTCTTCAGGTTTCTCCTGGTTCCTACGACGAGAACGTCTTCAGGGTATATTGATTCCTTTGTTAATCCTCCCTTTATTAACACAATTTTTGTTACGATATCTATGACGAGCATGATTCTTTATTAATATGGTGAGTATGCAGGGCTTGGATTTTGTGATATCAGAAGCTGGAAAATACGGGGTGCGACTCATACTGACCCTGGTGAACAACTGGAAAGAATATGGTGGGAAGACACAGTATGTGAAATGGGCAAGGGAACGGGGCCAGAGCGTGAGCAGCGACGATGGCTTCTTCAACCACCCTGTCGTTAAGCAATATTACAAGAATCATATTAAGGTCAGAAATATGTGCCTTTCCAGTCAGTAAAGATGCAAAACGCAATAACCCTTTTTGACAGGCGTTTTCGTTTGTGGCTCTTTTTGCCTTAGCCGTAGATTGGCTTTAATACCAATGGTCAATTTCTTTTCCTCTAATATATAGCAAATACTGCCTTCTCAAACATATGCACAGCACGTGTGCGAATCAAATTTTGTTACTAGTCTACGTTCGGTAGTATTTGATTTCTACTGCATCATCAAAACCAAGCGAGAAAAAAAATTTCAAGTTGGCGGAAATTTATTTATGTGGTTGAAATAGTGCAGGCTGTGTTGACTCGAAGGAACACTATAACTGGGATGGCATATAAAGACGATCCAGCTGTTTTCGCATGGGAGCTAATGAACGAACCTCGTTCCGAATACGATCGCTCTGGAAAAATCATTCAGGTCATTTTCTATCTCACGCTCACACACCATATAATGAGCCTCTTGTTCGAACACGTCCCATTATGTACACAGGGCGCCAGCTTCTAGCTAGCTAGCCAACTAGGGAAAGGAGAGTTATAATCGTGTGATCGTGTGATATCTCGAGTTTAATTAGTGAAAAGGAAATATCAGATGAAAGACAATTTTCAATTGGCGAGGCCTTGAGGGTAGGACAACTTTCCCTATAAAGCGATAAAGACATTATTCATCGAACAAGGGGGGTTTTGTAAATTTCACAGGATTGGGTGAGTGAGATGGCTGCGTACGTAAAGTCCATCGATCGGAACCATTTGCTGGAAATAGGGCTTGAAGGGTTTTATGGGGAATCAATGCCAGAGAAGAAGCTGTTCAATCCTGGATACCAATTAGTCGGAACCGATTTCATTTCCAACAATCAAGTTCCTCACGTCGATTTTGCCACCTTTCATCTCTATCCAGACCAATGGTAATTACTTTTTCATTTATTTCTTCCCTTTTTTTTTTTTTGGCTGATAAGTTTAGTGATGGTTTCAGGGTCCCCGGGTCAAACGAATCAGCCCAAACTGCTTTTGTGGACAAATGGGTGCACGCCCATATCGAGGATAGTAACAAGATTCTGAGGAAGCCCATTCTTTTGTGTGAATTTGGGAAGTCGTCCAAATCTGAGGGATATAGCGTGGAGAAGAGGGACAAATACTTTCAGAAGCTTTACGACGCCGTATACGGCAGCGCAAGTGGTGGGGGATCCTGTGCGGGGGGGGCTTTTCTGGCAGGCGATGGGTCAAGGAATGGATGGCTTTCATGACGGATACGAAGTTATCCTTCAGGATAGATCTTCAACTATCAACATCATCCGCCAGCAATCTCAACGCATGTCAAATCTCAAATAGCAATGACGAGGCGGGCACGCCACAGAGAATGAGACCAGAATGAGGCATAGGAAATGAGAACAACATAAATAGTTATAATTTAAGATTGATTTGGTTCCCGTAAATGCAAAGCCTGCCTGCCACCCGAAGCTGATGTGACGGGATTCTTGCTTTTAATCGTTTGGAGACAAATGCAAGGAATTTGCATTTGTCCTGCTGTATCAAAAAATGAAATATATCTGTATTGTCCAATCAACTTTTTCCGAGTTTCCACAAGGTTTCCACAATCGCAGGTCATTAAATAATAATTGATCATAAAATAATGTATCCATACTAAAAATTTAAATTAAGTGATTTATAAATAATGCTGGTAAATAAATGTAATTTATAAATTAAAAAAAGAACAATTCTTCGAATTTCTCCCCGAAGGGAGAGACCTTGACGACCAGCAATAAGTATGCGCACAAGACTTGGCAGGAGAGATCAACTACTTTTTTTTAAATAAAGTAACTACCTAGCTACTCTTTGAAATCAGGATAACTTCTTAAAAAATTTGATGTGTAAGATTATATTTGAAAGCACCCCCTCGGGGGGGGGGGGGGGAACGCGGGCCCACATATTCTGTGTAATTATGCGATTCTACATTTGCCTTTTCATCTCCAGCTCGACAGATAATACAACCGCCCCTCCTTTTCTGCTTGTATCCATCGAGATGAACTGGAATCCCTCGTTTTTGTTAATTAGGCAACAGTGACTACATAAGATTTGGACATTGATGGTGAGGTAGCAGCAATCTGTAATTGATAGGGACGTAGGAGTAATCTACAAACCTGCTTTGCATAATTAGAGACGCGTTTCAATTCATCGAATGACATTTTAAAATATTATCCCAAAAAACATTTGAAATACCTTTTTTTTTAATAAAAGAAAAAGATGTTTCCATCACATTCGGGCGAAGGAGATGGCGATCCATGTTAAAGACTATTGATGGGAAATAGGAATCAGTTACTGGAAATGCGAAGCAATCCAAAAACAAGTACGCCCTTTATCCTTGCAAGTGACTGCCTGTTTATGAATACTTATTCAAATATACTCGATATTCAGTGATACAAATATTGCAACTACCAAGTGGGTGGAAGAAAAATGAATACAATTAAGGCAATGAATGAATTTAACAGCGTTGCCAAGTAGCCACCGGTCAAAACTTGATGTTTGCGCTTGTTGATGGATCTTCGTATGGGAGCCGAAGTTTGAGGCTAGTACGCCTTTTTCATGTGCGTGACTTTGTTGGTGGGTTGTGGCAGAATCCAGTCAATGAGCACCCATCATCATTTAAATGATTGTACCGTTGCCTATCACAGAGTTTTTGAGAACCACTGTGATTCCTGATCGAATGTAGATACCCTCAGAAGGTCGGTCTGCCTCCTGCACATTCTGCGTTCCAATAAAATTATTCCTCATGGACAAATAGAAAGCTAAAATGCAGTAAAAATTTACGGTACAGTAGCATTAACATATATAAATCAACCGAATCATACTCACATCTTTATTGGCAATGACCACATTTTTTCCAATTCTCGCATTCTTATCAATTATACAGTTCCTGTAGAGCATAAATTTGTCAAGAAAAAACTAAACCATACAAAGGATATGACCCAAAAAAAAAAAACCAGATTTGTAAAAGTACTCGTCATCCATATTACATTTATCACTCTTATTGAACACACACTCTCTTCAAAAAATAGTTCTGGCAACAATGTAGGCCAAGCAAAAATTGTTATAGGATCGGGCTTCCCCTAATCCATACCAACACGAGATGAACTGGGTAAACTGGGTATTTAGAAATAATTGGGAACTGTAAGTCTGCTGCTTTCGCCAATTTTATGACTATGTAAACATGGTGGCATGCACACTTCGCGGATTTCAGTCTTTAGAGTTAACCAATGATCCATATAGCTCAACTCATTGTAAATATGTCACTGCAAAATGCTTTAAAATAGCCACATTCAAATCTTTTAGCCTTCCAAGAATCTTACACGATTTTGGTGTCCTTCCCAATGCCAATTGGGACATTTTCCTCCGCCAAGAGAGCTGCTATTTCGGCTTCAGTTTGGTAAAAGTCAGCACCCATCATCATGGTGTCCTATAAAATGAATGCGAAAGCAACTAATACTTCACCAATCTAAGCACTCCAGAAATGAAGTGATTATCAGGAAATTACCTTCAGCTGAACTCCAGAATCTATTCTTGAGCGAACTCCCACAATTGAATGTTCAATACTGCATTCTCTCAAAAAGCAACCATCTGAAATCAAAGAATTCATTACCTACATTGGAAGTTATTGCACAAACCCATCAGGCCCCACTAGAATAATCAACTATCAGCTATCTGAACCAAATTTTGCAGTTATACCTGGCACTTCTCCAATTTAGTTGGTGGTAAGAATCGAGGACGTGAAAAGATTGGCTTTGACTGGTCATACAACTGAAACTTCGGGGGCTTCAACATGCCAGCAAAATGAATTGCAACTTGTATAAGTTATATCCGACAAGAGTTGGTGACTGATTATTGCTATAGCGTTAAACAACCCACCTGATCCATGAGGGCCATGTTTGCATCAAAAAAAGACTTTATGGTCCCAATGTCTTCCCAATATCCACTGAAAAGATAAGCCTGCAATGAAAACCTTAGTGATCTACAATAAAACCGGAATATGATTATAAAGTTCACCAAAACAAGAAAATCCTACAATGACGTTACGCATATAAAAATACTAGGAGAATCCTTACCTGCACATTAAAATCTTTTGTGGCCATCGGGATGACCACAGACCCGAAATCATTTGCATTTGGATAGCAGCGCCTAAAATTGGGCATAAAATACACAAGAAAAATCACATCATCTATTTATGTATGAGGAAAAAGCAGCATTCATAGAAAGAAAGCTCGATCTTTGAAAGTACCGCTTAAAACAATCAGCAATTTGCTCAGAAGTCCTTTAATAACAAGAAAAAAAGTAAAAATAATAACCTTTCTTTATAACTTTCTCTTTTTAAAATCAGATCTTTTTTTTTTTTAAAATCTTCAACATAAATTGTAGAGAAATTTAGTCAGCAGATTAGCCATCAACTTTCACTTCTATAATTGTATATGTTCTCCAAAGAACCACTTTCACGTATCAAATTCTATTTTAATAGATAACTTTATATCATTCTGCATGTTAAATGGGGTGGTAACAGAGCTTTCATGCTTTTAACATCACATTCACTCCATTTCCATGATCCCATAGAGAAAAGGCTTGAAGTCACCAAGTGATATTGCTACTAAAGATTAGTGGCAAGAATCAATAAAAGGAAAATTCGCGCAGCACAAAAGAACTACATTACCTGAGGAGGTTTAGTAGAACATCGGTTTTAAACAAATATATCCCCATAGATGCAATATACGAGAATTTCTTTGCTTCTTGAGCTGATAAGCCGAGGACAGTTGTATCTACATGCTACGTAAACAAGTTCTTTCAGTTAGAGACAGGTAGTATTAGGCTGATAACTGAAGTTACGGATATCTTTAATCAATCTTTTGAGAATAAGAGGACGTTGGAAGAGTAACAACCATAGACTTCAACTGTTCTCCCTTAGGTTTTTCCAGGAACTGACAGATCCGTCCTGATTCATCAACCTTCACTAACCCAAAATCAGAAGCACGACTGGACATAAGAAAAGAAAACGTGAATATTAGGAAAAACAAAAAAATTGGGCGAATAATATGTTTGAGAAGGAACTTCGCCCAGAATACCTATCATCCACTGGGAGACAAGATATAGATATATCAGCATTTGAGCTAATGTGCTTCTGCAGGTGACAAAAGATCAGTTGTCAAGCTTTCGTCACATCACATAAGTTGTTGAATCAGGAAACAATAAACCATGCTGACAACTGATACCAACCCGCAGAAAGTTCGTGTAATCCATTCGATAAAGTTGATCCCCACACAAGATCAGAACATTCTCTACGTTTCTATGCTCAGCTTCCTACTCAAGATCCAGAAACTCGTTTAGTGTTGCGAAGATGAGAACCATGTATTCTGTTTGTTGATGAAAGGACAATGCTGCCAAAGCTACGGTTCTATGACACTACGGGGGGCCTCTGGCCCAATGTCAACCAACCATGCCATTAGGCTTGGAATTTTGGGTCTAGCAGATGCTGTGTTGGAACCCCCTGCCAGGACCTATCATATGATTTTCCCCTCTAACGGAGAGAACACTATTTCTTTATATTCTTCTTCCCCAGTCAGGTCAAAGCCCTCATATTGTAAGTTGTCACTTTGGGGGGGGGGGGAAGGTGCAATTTTATGAAAAAGGAATCAGAATTGAGAACATTTATGGCATACCTCAAACAACCAGAGAAATTGTCTTACAGCATCTGCTGTCCCCTGAAACCATTTCTTTCCTGATTCTCCAGGGGTTTGAGTTGCCGCTAATACCTGTTAAAACGCATTCTCAGTCTAAGTATTCCATATTAACAAGTAACACGGCAGACATGACTCAGAGAGGGATCAAAAAGACTATTCAAAGAGACAAAAGAAGACAAAATGCATACCTCAACAAAACCGCCGCCGAAATGGATGCCACTTCCTAAATTATAAGTTTGAGCAATGTGGCGGTTGAGGGACTGGGAATTGAATTGAGTAAGAATGTAAATTTTATTAATGCCACTGTTAATGCAATTACTCAAAGGTATATCTACCAGCCTATAGCATCCTCCAATTGGTACCTGAGTTCATAAAAAGGCCCACAGGTTAGTGAACCCAAACTCAGCCTGTAGTAATGGAAGAGGGGTATCTTTAAATCGAACAGCTTACAGCAGGCTTAGCTCTTCTTTGAGTAAGGGGGAAAAGACGAGTTCCAGCTCCACCACCTAATATGATGGAAGCAACAGTCTTTGGGTCCACCTCTAATTGTCCATGTAACGGTGACTGCAAGGCCTGAAATGCAATTTCATCTTGTCACACTTTCTTAGCAATGGTAATGCAAATAATGACTATGGTTGACTATGGTAAACAAAACCGCAAGTTTAAAGTGAAATATTATCTAAGTCAACTAGTGGTCAAGATCGAAATCCTCCCATAAAATCTATGATTATCCTAAATAACAAGTCCAAGAATAATGAAAATAACAAGAATAAATATGTTCAAAAAAAAAATAAAATAAAGGAGGTTAATTTACCGTAAAATTATTAGCAACATCTGCAAGAGTACAAACAGCCAACAATCTTTTGGTGGTCTTTTTCCGGGTTAGAGTAATGGATCCTGTACTTCCTAAATCAGATGCTGCATTCTTTGAATGTGCCGAATTCACTCTGCTATAAGAGAACGAGGAAGACAGAATTCTGTCATTGTGGGATGGTGTCATCTTTGAACCCAGACGCATCGAAAACCCACGCAATTCACCTGCCATTCCCTGTACCCTTGTTTTCTTGAATTGAAAATTGGCCCTCGATAATGCAAATTGAGTTAATCTTCGCTTCTTCTCTTAAGCCGCTCAATGAACAGGTTAACTATTGAAATGCTTTCCAATATTCAAATATATAATCATTCGTAAAATATTAGACAATGTACTTAGACGAATAATAAAGAACAAACAAATAACTTTTTAAGCAATCGACAAGAAAAAGAGTGAGATATAGCAGCAGCATAAGTTGAGCTGTTCGTGTTCTTGTATGATTTTTTTCAAAAGAATAAAGGAAATAATGAGGGCTTACCCCAAGGCGGAGCAAGGAATGGCTTAATAGCAGAAAACCAACATAAATACCCACCGACTGTCATTGTATTTCTCTTTTTGGATAAAAAATCTGCTAATCTCTTCCATAAAATCAGCTACGTTGCTAAGATTCTGAGTAGCTTACAGTTCAAGCCGCATCCTCATTAAGACTTATTGCTATGCACGCTAGTTTGACGCTTTTTGGAGGTCCTATCCATGAAGCAACGGATACTTTTCGAATTAATTAGCAAGTTATCACGCCAAAAAGTTTCAACGTTGAACAAGAAGCTATCGGGTTGTCGGGAACATCGTGATTTCCAGGTTTCCATCAGATTGCGAGTTTCTTTCTGTCAAAGAATGAGATAACACAGGGATCAACTTGAACGTTGCGAAAGGATTATCGAAATACCAGTATATTGTTAATTCGACGTGGCTTCGGCGTTCAAATGCATCAGCGCATACTACTAGCGAAGCATGTCCACCTCCTCGTGGGAGGGCTTTGATGTCAACATGGAATCCCACATATCAAGAAGCCTTGCTGAAGAAATTCTTATACTACCGTAATTTTTTGGCTAGCAAGGAATGATGTCAGAAATCAGAATGATACTTCAGTAGAATGGACTCGGGAGTTGATAATTTGAATATTAATCTTATGTTTCCCTTGTATCGGAGGGAGAGACGAACCCGCGAATACTAAGAAAGATTGAAAAAGCGTCGTTTCTGCAGATTTGCCTTCTGATACTAACCCTAGTACTTGCATTCCTCCGTGCCGGTTTAAGGGTGACCGGACCCGATTCAAATTAGCAAAAATGTTTCCGACTTTAAACCTGATGGCATTTGCATTTCTTCTCCGTAACTTTGATTGTCATTTTTGTTTTATACACCCAGACTGGATCAGTCATTATAGCTAAGTCTTCTCCTAGCAGCCCTATTACAATCATAGTTATAACAAAGGACGACACCTAGAGATCGTAAACAAAAATATACAGAAATCGGAATACAATTTAGAAATGAGACATATAAAACCCTTATATAATGCAACTGGCTTCTGGGTACCAGATGAACAATTTCCTGGGCGACCATGCCCTTGTTCTGACGCAAGCCATCTCGCCTAAGCGATCGGAATAGAAATGGCTGATTTTAGTAGCTTATTTTAAGCCATATTCCCGTGATATCGAACAAGGCTAGACTAGGTTTGATAACAGGGTACTGTGGTTCTAAAAGTTCTAACCAAAAGAGTTGACAAACTTGTAAGCACCTACTACATTTACGGCCTTCGTAAGACCAAAACGGGTTGAGGATGTATAGACAGGGCAACTGTGACAACTATACATTATATATATATAATATATATATATATATATGGAAAAGCCTTGCAGCATTATTGATCGATTCTGAGATTGCTACATAAATGACCAAGCTCAGGTCTTGCACCCATCCATGCAGCAAATTCCATCTTGGCAGGAGAGGTGCAGTAAAGGTAGGATCTGAATGTGATAAGGAAAAAATACCGCCTGCAGATGAAGGGAGAAGAAAATGGTTACATCCTAAGCTATACATAATCAACGTAACTTCCACTGACATCCATGAGTAGTATAATTTTCTCCAAAATCATGTCTGAAAGCAAATAAATTAATAAGAATGGAGAATTCAAAAAATAACTTCTAGACAACGAGTTCTAAAAAAGGCCTATCACCTATTACAGAAGTCCGAGAGTTCAATTTGAGTGACAAGAAAGCATCTCAGTCGTAAGCATACCTCAGAGCCTTGACACCCATGTCCATTAGATGAGCGCGTTCCTCGTCATCGCCATCAGTAAACTTCTCAAATTCTTTCCTATAATACATAATATCATTCCGCAAATGTCCTGCCCCGGCACACCTATTCAACAAATACTCAATTAGCGTTGACAGATCATTTTCCTTGGAAGAGTAAAATGGTAACAAACTCGTATATTTTTAGAGCTACTCAATGATACATTTCTCTACACCCAAAATTGCAATCTCTGTTTTGAAGTCGAACACATTCTCTTGAGGCAATATCATAAAGCAAGAGAATGGATTCTCAAACTTGGCTGACTTACCTTTCAATAATAATGTCAACATCTGCTTTGCTTTGGGGACCACGTATAAGTACTCTAGTTAGGCTTAATATGTCACGATAGTCACCCATCCTAAATGCCTCTTCATTAGAAGCTCGGGAAGGCATGTTCTCTTGAAGCATTGGATCCATGTGAGGACCATACAACGGTCGCGAGATTTTAGATTCCAAGTTTGTAGCTGCTCCTAGTTTAATACACATGATCGCCATTGCATATGCAACTCCACCAAAACCTGTGTGCGACAAGAATAGGTAACTACCTGCAGAGCTATGACAAAGCAAGGGAGCTTTAAAAAATATTATTTGTTTTAGGAGATAAAAAGACTAATGTATCAACAATACTGTTTTCAGACATAGCAGAAAACACGGGGCAAAAAATTACGTAAATCCATGTACCTCCCTCAACTCATCAGTGAGAACCCGGAATTAATGATAAACCATTCAAAAAATTTGTTAACTGCATTTTGGAAACCAAAGAAGAAGCCCCCTATATATGTTAATTTAACAGCCACAAGATGGAATGGTTCTCAATTTAGCATTTGACTGCTATTTAATTGGCACAGCCGATGCAATGAAAAATTCTTTGATACTCCTCTGGTCCTTAATATAGGACCTAATTGTTAAGTTAGTTTTGGTCCTAAATATAAGACCCATTTCTCATATTTATCAATTTTCTCTAAATTACCCTTATAAATACTCTCTCAACCATAATCAAGTAGAAAAGGAAGATGGGATATTAAGAAAGATGATCATGATATTTTAGAAAAAACGTATCACATTTCTTATAATTAACTAGCTTATCTAACTTACTTAATCTAATCAAATTATTAAATGGGTCTTATATTAAAGACCGTAGGCGTACTTAGGATATATATTATTATGTATGGACACTTACTCATCTTCACAATACTGAATTGCATCTATGTCACAGGCTGTGGCATCTCTCTCTCTCGTTAATGGAATCCTTCGGTAGACAATATCATATCCATCGTTTTTCAAAGATGAATAAACTTCTGAAGGTGTCTTGACATCATCTACTGAAATGTTTTCCCAGTATCCAACCACACCAGACTGATTAGTTGAAGGGTTATAATCCTCACGATGTAATAGCATTCGCCCACCAGACTTTCTAATCTCAGAAATTATATCTTCTTTTAGCCGTGCCTCCATGTGCTCCACCTGCATTACAGTTATCATGAGTTCAGCAGCATATGAACTTTTGAGTTATGTTTCAATAGTCACTCTATTGCACAAGATGACACACCACAGGACCAGTGATTCCCACATGCTTGAGTGTATCAACAGGTTTGTTCAACTCCCGCCAGACGAAGGGAGTACCATCAAAATAAACAACTGCTTCCTCCCTCAGATCAGTCAATACAACTTTTTGAGAAATTGCAGCTTCTGAAGCTCCTGATTTAGGCTTAGCACCTAAATATGCTAGCATCTCCTTGACACCAGAGATGGTTGGAGTTGCCATGCTATATACGGGGTATTCATCAACCTGAAGGAATGATGTTTCAGGCATGCATAATAACATTTCCCAAATTTAAGACACGGTATATATTAATTGATAATAACACAAAAGAGCTCTTCAATTATTAAATAATAAGAAAGGCACATGTGAGCGCAACATTAAAAAAATTGAACAAAGTGTTCTGAAAGCCCTTCACTGTCGAACGCTCAAACCACAAGACAATGGCTCAGTATATGTGAGTAAGCATAACCTAATTAGAGTTTCTCCTGTGGCTTCGTTGTCAAACTTTTAGCCATGCGCTTTATGAATAAAATTAGTCTGATTACATCAATGTAAAGCTTAGTCCCAGGCTGAAAAATGAGATAAATAGATACAAGAACTTATGTGCCCATGTATTGAAGAAAACAATAATAAGATTCACATGTTTTCAGGGATACTCTATATCTGACTCTATAGTCAGGAACAAATACTCAATATTGAAGCATCATCCAAGGGACAGATGAAGAAACAAAATTACATGAAATTGTCCAATAAGAAGATAGGAAACAACTAAATCAAATTGCAATGCTAGCTGCATGGAATACATTTTCACCAAATAAATTCATGCCAGAAAACATATTGGAGATGCTAATTCTACCTACACTTGGATGATCCTGTAGGTCCCCACTGGACGTGTAGCCTTATTCTCTGGCATCACAAATTTGATGATAGTCAGTTTCTTTAGCAGTACATATATATGTAAACATACCTTGTAAACATTCGGTGCACCATGTATTTGGATGTGGCTGGAAGTTCTCTGACCAGGAAAGAAATACATTTTTAGTATGGAGCCTTTCCCCAAAACAGAACCATTCCGGTCCTTGACAATTGCCTCCATTACTGCATCTCCATGCTGAGACTCTTGTGGTGCTCTCAGCCCTTCCTACATATTAAGTTAGCGTTAAGGAAGAAATTTAATCAGATCCAGTGGAAGGTCATCAACAAAAAAGTACAAAAAATTTACCGGAACAGAGAATAATCGTCCTGGTCTCAGTCTGATGCTCCATTTCATAGCCTGCACCTCTGGCCTCCTGTGCAACCAGGTCTTAAATGTCATTTTGGATTCTCCTTGTCCACAAAAACCATCAAAAGCTTCGCTTCCAAGATATGCTGCAAAAGCAATGAGGCGGAAGTACCGTTCCAGGTACTCAGCACCTCGATTCAAGGCCACTCTCCTTACTCTAGGCTCAACATGCTGTCGATTGAATACTCTTCTGTATTGCAGAACAGCTTGGCGTATGTTTTGAAGTGCAGAACATCTATCAATAATAGCATCTAAGGCCTCCCGACATTCCACGCCATTATCAAATAATGTTGTTATCTTCCATAACAAGAGAATGTCATTAATACCAAACACATGACTTTGTTTCTCATCCATTTTAATTAGAGAAGCATCAGAGGTTAATGCATTAATGTCAACCCCTGTTTCATCTGCACTTGAGAAACCACCATTCACTTCTTGATGGGCCACGCCCAAGTTGTCAACCAGGATTTTGATGGGCCTCCCATAATTAATTCTAAGTTTAACAAGGCAAGCTATGACAGTGCCAGTGGTTGTCCTACCTCTACCCATCTGTATGTAAATGAAACATTATAATAAAGAGGGGAGGGGCCAGAGGAAAATAATCAAAACCAATGTAAATGGACAAATACACAGAATGAACATCTCCATAAAAAGAACATCATAGAAAGGTTAAAAGGTAACCTGACAGTTGAAAACAAAAGCAGTGTCCTTCGGAGAAGATGCTATATTAACAGCCATTGTGTCAAAGTCAGAACTTTTAGGAGCTTTACCATCAGTGATGGGCACACGTGCGTACTTGATGGGAAAACCATCAGCCTGCAGGCTTTTAAAAACTTCAAGTGGGGTTTGAATTGAATGAGATGTGACATGCTCCCAAGCATCAAATATTTGCCCCTGATCTGCTTCGTGAATAACCAATACAGCACTGCCATAGTGTTCAGCTTCTCGTAGAATATCTTCTTTCAACCGAGCTTCCATTTTCTCCACTCTGTCACGATCAATTCCCTGAAAGAAGAAATCATATCTCCAATGCAGAACAAGTGCTTCTTCAACTCAGAAGTATAACGAAATTATATGTAAAAAAATGTCTTTACCGTGTACTCCAACATGTTTTTGTATGGTCTTTCAAGTTCCCGGAGAACAAATGGTTTCCCATTAATGTATATAACAGGTTCTTCCCTCATATTATGCCATAGTACAGGGCGTCCCCCTTTAGAGCTACCAATCCTACGAATAACAGATCGAATACCATCAATGGTTGGGTTTGCCACACCAAAGACCGGAAAGTCAGGAACTTCTCTGAAATTTGGTGCCCCCTCCACTCTCTCTGGTAAACTTGGGTTTTGGCAACCAGGACAGTGATCACTTTTTAGAACAGTTCGACTACCAAGAACTTCGCCATTTCTCAAAGCGGCAACCACACCCATCTCAGAAGGGCGGCCATCAGCAGATTCAGCTATCTTCTTTGGAGATGGCTTCAAACTGGAATATCCAAGCGCACCCATTGGATCTCTCCTGAGCAACCTGCAATGCTTGAAAGTGGTAAGAAATAAATGTTATATATATACCGAGTACCAACATCCATAAAATCAAGAAAGTTATCAAATCATATTACAGACAGAAATCCAATTGATATATATGTATGTCCGATTTATACAGTACAAAATTTTTAGAAGAAAATGATGACATGGTCCAGGTGAATGTTAAATAAGATTAAACCGCAAAGCAAACTCAAACTATATCTAGCAACTTGGTGAATAGTAGCCCAAAACACCTAAAATGTTAGAGAACTTGATATCTTGCAGGGAGTCAAACCCATTGTGCCTCTTGATGCTTAACAAATGAAAAGCAACAGTAATAACAGGACCAAAACCATGCCTTTTCACGGCAACAGGGTGGAATGGAATCAACATGTAATGTCCAAATCAATTTTTTCGCATGAGCCAACTTGACATGGGAGACAATCAATCTTGACTCGCTGAAGTAGAATCACAATTCACGATAGAAATCTTCAAAAAGCTCATGAGAATCATAAAATCGCAGTAGCACATAGAAAAACTTAATGATAAAGACCGTGTTGATGATTAAATTTGGGCTGAAAAGCAATATTAATACCAAGAATCCCTCATCACAAGTACCAAAATTTGAGGTCGGGTCCCATTCCTGACGAAGGAAAAGAAATAACAAAACTTCAACTTCACACAATCATTAATATTCTTACCTCCGAATAATACTGTACAGTTCCGGCCTAGCTCTCATCCAGTCAGCAAAACTGCTGTGACTGGCAAAATCAGAATTAAGTGCAGCCCTTTCTGAATGAATGTATACAGCAAAACATATTAAGAAGTAGTATCTCTCCAGGTACTCCACGAAAAAAGAAAGCGATGACTCCCTCTTCTTTTCATCTGGTTGTCGCAGAATGCTGTTGCGATAGGTGGCAATTGCTTCACGCAAATTCTGAAGTAGAATTAGGTCAAATATAAAGTGAGGCATTTTATGCTGAAATGTGAAATCAAACACTACAAAATCATAGAAAAGGAAATCGTAGCATCAAAGTACACATAACCAGCTTAGTAACACAGGATTAGAGTCATTGAATATTAGGTACCTGCATTGAGGCACACTTATCGATAACTTTGTCCACTTGTCTCTTCCCCTCAACACCACCCTAAAAAGCACATGCTCTCATTAGGCCTAATAAAACTTATGCTACATCTTCTTAAAGAAACACAAAGTTGATACCAATACCTCTAATACACGAATCAGACTTCTTATGACTGCATATTCTCCCCCGCGAACTGTGTCCTCTGAGTCAGGTAAATGATCAGCCACATTAGTGGCATACTGAGAAATCTGACCGACAGAATCGCTCCTCGGAATACCTAAAAATCATGTATTATGATAATATTAAAAAGGAATTTCAATAGTTACCCCCAGGATCAAACTAAACAAAAATGTAACAAGACTACATTAAAATTAGTAAGTCAAACTTTAGTCGCAAACAATGCCCTTCCAAACGCTTATAGCAAGGACTTTCAGTACAGTAATCCCAAATTTATATATAAAGAAAGTGTCCTACAAGCGCATGCATGTCTTGTATTATAAGAGAGGTGAATTATTATAAGAACAGAAAGAAGCTAGTAATAGTACATGGATCAAGTATAAATAGAAAACATTGACGACAAATGAATGCAAATAAATAATTTAGGTCAGCATCTTCGACATGATGGCATTGAGCTTCTCTCCATCACAGAATAGGTCAATACTCTTAGGTTATTTGTTAGACTCATTCTTCCATCCATATCCATACTATTATACACTCAAACAACTTCATGGTCATGGGCTAGATTTTGGTCCCGAAGCCTAGCAATGATATGAACAAAAATGAAACCTTTAGGGACCTAGAATGGTGTATTTCCCCCAAAAAAAAAATCATAAAAATTGACAGGGGCAAGGAAAAAGATTACCTGAGGCTCCAATTCGGTTGAGGTAAATTAGAGTAGCAATGACCATTCCTGTTGTAGTTCGTCCACGGCCCATTTGACAATTAAAAATGATTTCTGTATTTACATCAGCTTGAGAGATTTTATGGACCTAAATCACAATGAAGAATGGCTGAGTGATAACATAGGTTTCAGGAAATTATGAGTGAAATTTTTTTGGCTAATAACTGTTATTCCAAATTAAAGATTCTAGGCATCTAAGCAATTTTCAACAGAAGCTCTTAGCTCTTAGACAAGACAATAAAGAAGAAAATTTGACCACTCAACACTTTTGTACATAAAAATATATTTCCAGAAGGCATTACACTTCGTATACAATGACAGATAAAGTCAAAGCAGGATCACTGATAACTGCCTTGTTCACAACTTATGCAAAGGTTTTCGCTGAAACAAATAGTTAAAGCTCACCAAAAAGTCAAAATCCAGCTCTTTTGGTGATTTTTCGTCAGTTATAGGAACACGTTCATAATCAACATGGTATCCCTCTGCTTGCAATTCCTCATACACCTACAGCAAATAAACAACTCTGATGCATGTTTTTCAGAAAATTTATGGACTAGCCTCACCCTATCGTCAACAATGTTTTGCTTTACCTCTAGGGGCGGTTTCACTGAATTACACGATACTTGTTCCCACTGGTCCACCATCTGGCCATCTGGCAGTTCATCAGTCACAAGGATCTTATTTCCATATCTGTTATGTCAATGCGCAAATAAGATTGGTTATCATGCACGATAGGACTATAAAAAAAATAAAGAGAACTATTAGCTGCATTTGATAGATTAGATGGAACAAAAAAGTACCTTCTTGCTTCGACTAGGATATCTTCTTTCAAACGAGCTTCCATTTGTTCAACCCTTTCCCTGTTTATTCCCTGATTAAGTACAAGATCACACAACAGTAAAAAGATAAGATGCATTAGCTATAAATTAGAGTTCTTAGTTCAACTCGAAAGTTAATTACACAATAAGCATACCGTATACTCAAGGTTAGAAAATGGCCTTTCCACATCACGCAAAACAAAGGGTCGCCCATTAATGTACACAACCTGATTTCAACAAGAATGAAGAGGAAGTTTATAAAAAAGATAGTTTGGAAAATATCACAAGAACAATAGTCATCAGGAGTTAAAATAAAATTTTAGAGTGTAAAGTGTCAGCCAGAAAGTGGATTCCAGAGCGTCATGTATAGTGGTTATCACTTAGAAAATTTCACAACGTTTCCATTATTCCATAGGTTGACACAGAAATCAAGGAATGTAGCCTGTATATTTTTGAGACACGAATTTAGCTGAAATTCTCCGAATGACAGGGAAGAGAACAAAAGGTTTCCATAGCTTCATTGGTAGAAAAAATTGGATATTCACAGGACCAACTGGAGCATGAGTCCTAAGGCATATTTGGAAGCTAAGGAACCGATATATCAGATATCTACAAGAAAACAAGCATACCGGTTCTTCACGAAGGTTAATCCAAAGAACTTGCACCCTCTTCCCTTCTTTTTGAGCACCAATATGGTTCAGAACATTTCGGATTCCATCAAATGTTGGGATTGCAACCCCGTGAACATGTAATGAGTCAGCCTGACAACAGTAATCAACAAAAACGAAAACATTAAACATGAAAAAAGGCAAGGAATCGCGAGCCAGTAAAAAAAATATGGCGTGAACCAGAAAGTTATAGGTTGAGCAGCGTTAATATCTAATGCAAGAGTATGGGGCTTTTTTCAGTTCGGAAGCCAAGAGGATGCTGTAAACCCCAGTTATAGCGCCGTTCAAAATCGGACACAAGATATGCTCAAAAGGTCGAAGAAAAGTAGAAGACTAAGTTTCGAAAAAGCCAAAAGCAGGGGAGATAGAGTGGCTAATTAATTTTCAAATACATAACCACATGTAGAATTACAGACCCGAGTATTTAAAATATTAACCCAATGGTGCGTTAGACATCATTGAGCGATGACTCCAGTTGAAACCAGTCCATAAAGCTAACAAGCACCAAGGAAATAAGAAGAAAGAAAGAAAGAGAACAAATATTAAGACCTGACGATAATTCGGAGCGCCTTCAATCTGAGGAGACAAGCGTTTGTTCTGGCAACCAGGGAAATGGTCGCTTTTCAGAATGGTCTTCTTTCCCAGCACCGATCCTCCCCTCAACTTCATCACTTGTTCCGGCACCTTCGCTATCGACATCTTTTACCTTTATAGAATTCCTGCTACTCCTGACTGTGCCAGTATCACTCACGTAAACACAAACACCATATCGCAAACAGGAGGTCCTATATTTACTGAATTTCGAGTTCTCTCTATTCTCAGCAATTCACCTTCGTCTGTGACCCATGATATTCACAAGTTCGAAAGAGCCAAAATGCAGCATGCGAGGAGAAATAATCAATTGCAGGACAGAAGAACGAAGGATTATACGAGTTATGGTTGTGATGTTCGCTGAAGAAACGTGAGGAGGTAGATAGAAAGTCCAACAAACAGGCAAAGACGACTTCTTGTCACTTCATTCTGACGCTAGAGGGTCATCAGCTGTCCAGTTCCCACAATTTTAGAATAATTTCAGGATAACTCCCTTCTTCTGCCTGAAAGGAGTTTCTGCAAAAACTCAGACTCCTGACGCTTATTTCCCAGACGACAGGAACAAGGAAAAACAACTTTCCTTCCTCTATATATTCTCCTCCCTCAAAAAAGATGAACGGGAATGCGAATCTTTAATACGAGTATAATTATAAAAATGAGTTAAGACAAGTTTTTTTAATTAGATAGCCCTAAATTCGGAGGGGGCATGCTGTGAATATTCTTCTAGCCAGTAGGGGACCTCTGTGGGAAAGATGCCCAAGCCCCCATCAACAGTCGCCACCTACCCTTGGGTGAGAGGGGGATTATCCTCTTTATACGGTTCTGTCCCAAACATAATGCTGACCACAGAAAGGAGATGGCAATAATCTCCGAGTAACAGGATTTCCTCCGTTCCTCGTAGAGGAGTAGACTGCGTGGACTGAAGAACGCGGAAACAAACAAAACAAAAAAAGGAGAGGAAAAACAAACGTGCAAGATATGACAATCGGATTAGCGAATCTGGGAACTGAGAAGGTTGACGGGGCACTTTCTGGGGCCCACCTCAAGGTCAATGTGGCGTTGTGAGATAGCAGTAAAAAATTTAGGGGAAAAAAATTTATAAATCTTCAAATTGACGGTTAATTTCACAAACTAGCACTACTTATGACCAAAAGTCAGGCCAAAAAATAGTTGACCAAAAGAAAAAAAATCATAAAAATCTATTATGCTAATTACTAACAGTAATCAACACCTAATAGATTGCATTATTATACCCAGGTGATTGACGAACTTAAGAAAACAGAGGAAAGAATTTATAAAATAACATGTGAGAGGCATGGTGATGGCTGATGGGGCCAAGTACTTGTAGCTTTTTTTTTCCCCTAAAATTATTTATTTTTTACATCTTTTTATTCGATTGAAAACAAAGATAAAGCATGTTTTGCGACGCCTTTTGCCTGAAAATGTTGAATTACATAGTGAAAAAAGTGCAGTCGTTTGTTCGCTTCTCATTAGCTAGGCGATAACAAAAAATTTTTATCAAAATATTTTGCTAGTCATATCTAATTTATATTTTGCGTGATCATCTGATTTTATGGAGAGTTTAATTCATCACCAATCATTATTGTTAATCGTGTTCGCTTTTCTTTCTTGGTGTTAGTTTCAAACCCTTGTCCCATTACGGATGTCACATTTTGATTTAGACCAGCGAAACCGTTACTCCTTTTTATTTCTGGGAGGGGCAGAGGCGGCGGCCCCGGGGGTTTCAAGAATTTTACACTACTTTCTTAATACTCCCTCCGTTTCTTATTATAAGAGACATTTGATGCTTATAGTATGTTCTTAAATATAAGAGACACTTAAAAGTTGTCTCTATTTTTTTATGTTAATTTTCTATTTTACCCATATTTATTGTCTCCAACTCACACTCTCTCTCCTTCCCACTTCTCTTTCTTTTAAGAATTTACTATTGTTCTCTCTCATGCTCTCTCTCCTTATTAATGAGGGCATTTTTGGAAAAAAAAATTATACTTTTTGCACATTAATTGTTCTTAACTAATTTTAATTGTTTTTTTTATCAACGCAATTCGGTTATTCGTCTCTTATAATAAGGAACGGGAGTAATTATGAGCGCATCCCTAGACACATCTCGTGCTGTATACATTTGATTAAAATATCACATATTAATTTTATTAAATTCGAGAAATATTAAATGATTAACTAGTCCTTTTCATTGCATTAAAAAAAAGTCCTTTTCATCTCGTTTTATTAGAAAAAATTAATCCTAGTAGAAATGTAATAAAACGACACTTCATCTTTTTTTACCCATGTTGTAAAAAAATCACAAGCAAGAATCCAGCCTTCACTTCACTTTCTTTCCTTCCTGACGCTCCACGCCACGCCATTAAACATTCATACCGGACAGACTTCTAAAAATATCAAGCATCGCATTTTCAATTTCTATCACATCATCATAATGATCACAAGTAAACTAAAAACGGAACAAGAATGATGCAGTGAAAGTAATCCTACGCTAATCAGAGTTCGCTCATTCTTGTAGTATTGCAACGTCATACTGTGTCATGTTTAATTGGCACACAACATTTATGTGATAAAATAATAACGATAAGTAGTGAACATCTACATTCAGAATGAAACGACCGCATCGTCGTCCACATCAACCACCTCCAACACAAGATTTTTAGTGGAAGGCAAACCGGCGACAACTTCTTCTTCAATACCACACTCGTTTGTGCCTCGCCTGATCTTGAAGTAACCATCCTAACGGTTCAAAATAAATTAGGCCATTAGTGAAGGATTGTATTTGACTACGTGAAATTCAAATCGAAGGGTGACCAAAATACTTCACTTACATCGCCCCAACTTCTATTCCACTGGTTCGCGAGAAGCTGAAAGAGAGGAAAGTGAAGCGTGAATACGGAAGTTACAGACAACATATGATGAAGCAGGAGTTAAAGGCCAACAATAATGGACAAGTACCGTACCCAATAGTCCTCTCCATCATCAGTGGTTCCCCACCCAATTAGCTTTACAGCATGACCTCCCATCACGTAACCTGCGACGTGTTTGTATACTCCTGACTTGTAGTGAGCAAAATCCTGAAATAACATGGCCGAACAAGGGAAGATGATCATTAATTCATAAACTAAAAACAAAAAGGTAAACATTTTTGTTTCTAACTGAAAGTTCAATGGAAAGCAGGAATGAGAGGCTCTCCCAAGGAACTTAACCAGGCATAATGCATACATTAGTCGGTCTATATAATGCATATATGATGGGGACGAAAACTCATCCAGAAAGGATAACGCATAACATAAAGAGACCAAGTGATAAATCACAAACTGAGGCCAGCTTTCATGCCTTCTCCACTAATCCAATTATAGATTCAGCTGCAGTTGCTTAAGTGTTGAGTTGTGAACCTCGGAGCACATAGCAAGACCAGTTTGCATTGTAAAACCGTTTTTAATCTAGAAGTGTTGGATTCTTGGCCAAAATACCAGCAGGTCATTTCGATGCATATTGTATAACTACATGTATTTTATTATTGTCGCCCGCGCTCCGACATATAATGACTCCTCTGCAGCAGAGAACTAAATTTAGTAGCAAGAAAATCTGCAGCAGCAGCAAGCCTCTATCTGCACAATTTTTTTTCTTTTTTGGGTAAACATCTATCTGCATAATGCTAGCCTCAAAGACAACAAGGGCCGCACCATCCACGTATTTGCAGGTTTAAAGAGCCAGCCCAAGTAACAACCAAGCAAAAAGAAGCACTGGGGAAAAAACTCCGTGAGACAAGGGGGAAAAACACACAAGGAAAAAACCCAGCCCAAATGGAAGGAATCGATCAAAAGCGCAAAGGAGCATAATATAGACCAAAAATGTGTGAAGAAGAGAACAGAAGGGAAGAACAATTCTTTTCAGGACAGCAGACTCAAGATTAAAAGCCACCGACCCAAACACTCTGAATAGCATTATGAAGTGACCTAAGGGGGAAGTGAGCAATACCCACTTGAGCTTATAAAGCAAGAAGACGCACAGTTCAATTTGCCCAAAAACACACCAATTGAATTATCCCTTCATTTGCTTTAACTAATCCCTAATTAAGCCTTTCGCCCTTAAACAATCCACAGTCATCACATCTTCAACATTCACACTGCTACCCTAAAATGAACATCCTCGTTTCATAACCCATGGTTTCTAGTATACAATAAAAGTGCCTGCACAATATGATTCTTGCTCTCATCATCCCAGCCTCTCATATATGGCAAGGCAAGGCACTTCAAGATAACCAATGTAATAAAACCCCTCCTTCAATTCAACAATATATTAAGTTGACATATTTGAAATCGTTAGCCTGTGCCTGAATAATGCTTCCTCTAAAGCCAGAAAGTTTTTTTTTTTTTCAGTTTTCCTCTACAGCTGTACCAGACAGTTCTTCATTTGCATCTCTTAATGATACATCATATACAGGGATTGAGGTGACTACTTTTTTCATGTAAGACTCAATACAATTTGATATTCTTATCGTGTGCTTTCTCCAAATCTCCACTCTTTCTCACTTTGATTCCATTGAAGCTATACATAGCTGCTCTCTGGAACAAATTTCTTTCTTATAGTGTAAAAAGCATCGTCACTATGCTTATTGTATATAAGCATGTTTAATATCTTAAAAATGCAATTTACTCAATCTCATAATGATCATAAAAATATAAAATGACCAACAGGCTTTGAAAAAATGAACCAGTATTTCAAAAAGCCAATGATTCTGAGCATGTTTGGTTCATGCAAGTTGCAGCACAATCAAATGATATATGGCTCATTAAGCTTTCACTTACCTCATAAACAGTGAAAGAGACCTCAACCGGCCCATTCTTATAAACTTCTGCCATGATATCATAGGGATCAGAGTTGACCCTATATGCATTATCACTATAGTGCTTTGACTGGCTCCAAAGCTGGTTACCATTGACGCACTTTCTCACACACACAGGTGTTGGATATGCAGGCTCACAACCAGGGTGAGAACAACCAATCTGATCAAAGTATGGGTCACACTGCCAAATTTAAACATTTCAGATAGTAAGAGAGTGCAAAAGGACGAGTGCAAGGCCAAGTTGAAAAGAAAAGTTTTCTACAGAACATTAACATCCATAAGAGAACAGATCCCAGTGAGAAGGATCCTTGGATTTCCATTCATAACATTTCCATATAAACCAGAGAACCACTTTGAGGGGACAACCTCCATGAGGAACTACCGTGGTTAAATGAAAACTCATTACCTCTTCAGTGACAACGCCCTGGCGGACGAGGTATTGCCATGCATTGAGGGGATAACCTCCATCACAGCCAGATCCACACAAAAATCCACAGCACGAGAGAAGGTCATTGACAGAGAGTGACACATTCTGCCAAATAAAAATATAGATTTATGGAGAATCGTACACATAATAAGCAAACAAGTGAAATGTTATTTCTGTAATAAGCTTAGGTTACCAGGCCAAAATGGATGCAGAAACGATCTGATAATGATTCAACAGCGCCAAATGCCCAGCAAGAACCACAGTGACCCTGAATGACCATCATCTAGATCAGCTCAGAATTTTTTTAACTTCTGATATATGAAAAGATGTTGCCATGAGAAAAGTAGATACTAACCTGATCTTTAATTAGTAGATTGTTTCAACATCCCATGTGTTCATCAAAGAAGAAGAGTCAGCAACTTCTTGCATGTGAATTAATTAGTCAGAGAAAACCAAGAAGAAGCAAGTAGGTAACCTAGAATTCTTCCAATTGTGCTACACTGCTTCCAAGCTGTTCTTGCATCAAACTTGTTTGGCAATTTTAATGCTTTTGGATGAGTTTTGACAGGAGCACTTCTTAATTCCTTTCTAGGTGTTTGCTTAACCCCTAGAAGGTGCTTAAACTGTCCAACCTGTGCAACAAAACCGAGATCTTAGAATCTCAATCATTGTACATAATCTAAGCATGTGCAGTAAAGGTGTTGATGATAAAAAAATAGAAACAAAGCTGTGCAGATTGATAGCTAACTGTGTAATTAGAGAAACGAGGACTCATGGCAGCCTTCCACCCTGCTTTTGGATTTCCATTAATCCGTTCAACAATAGACTCCTGCAAAGTGATGTTTAACAATTCATCACATGGCTTGAACCAAAAATAATACATAATATCCATATTAAAATTTCAAGTTGGCACTTAAATTGGTGATAAAAATATTCCAGACTGCCATCCTGCAGGCTCTTTCTTTTAATTATTTTCGTCACAGTATCACTCTCAAGCCCAAAAGATAAAAAATAAAAAACAGTACTAGTACAAACACAGAACAAAATGGATCTGGAAATGCAAAAATTTAAATCACCTGGAGGATGTGAGAACTGAGCTTGAGACTACCAAGTTCTTCTGCTTCTGTTTCTGCTTCAATGATCTGTTGCCGAGGTAAACATCGTCAATCAAATTCAGAGAATAATCTTACTATAAGAGTTCACAGGAGAGCATGTCTGATGTGAAATAAATGGCTATGAAGGAAGTTTATAGTATCTGCCCTTTTATCTACTGAAAATGAAGCATGACTGCACCATAAGTTCAGTTAAACACGCATAACCCCACGACCACGACAAAGCAGATCGAGGTAAATTTCCAAAAGGTCGAATCTAGCAACTCTTTGTATCTCATTTTTTCAAATATCACAATAGAAATGTTCAACTGAGAAAATATATAGCGCAGTTATGCTAGTTCCATCATATCATGGGGACCATAGACTGAATTTTCAGAGCACGGATTTCCATGGAAAAACCCAAAAGAATAAATCATCATATTTGCAAGAATTGAAAACAATGAACACCACCCCAAGCGAACAAACATCAACAAAAACAGCAACAGAGAATTCAATGTCTTCTACGAACAACTAATAGAAATATACAAACGGATGGTCAGAGCCCCAAAAATATCTTCTAAAACAGCAAACAATAAAAATTTCTATATGTCATCCCTTAGAAACAAGGAGGCGAACAATATACCGGCAGCGAGAGGGCGGAGAAAGCCAGAAACAAAGTAATCAGAGTGAAAAGAGTGGAAGCCATTTCCCAGTCTCTCCTTTACGTTGAGAAGCAATGAAGTGAAGGCGTGCAGAGAACGATCACTTGAGCAGATTCTTATAGGAACAGGGAAAGGATGAGATGATCATACTATTTTTGCTTGATTGCGTGAAAGGGACAAGCGAGGAAAAAAAATATCTTGTAAATATGATAAAGTAATGGTGATATGGAAGGCGCATGTGAAATTGACAAATAGCCCATGACGAGATCCATCCACTCCCTGCTACAAATTTCAGAGTTGACGTCGGACGTTTGTTCTCGAGAGTGTTTCTAAATAATTTTTTTCAAATTGGGGGGTATACTCTAAATTATTTTTTTAAATTTATAGTTTAATTTTTATTCAAGTACCTCCAGTACTTCTCTCTGAAGTGCTTTCTGATTTCTCAGCAAATTTTTCAATTTTAATACTCCCTCCGTTCCTTATTATAAGAGACATTTGATGCTTATAGCATGTTTCCATATATAAGAGACATTTAAAAGTTGTCTCTAGTTTTTTTTTAGATTTCCTATTTTACCTCTATTTATTTTGTCTCCAACTCATATTCTCTCTCTCTCACTTCTCTTTCTTTTAATAATTTAATTGTTCTCTCTCATACTCTCTCCTTATTAATAGGGACATTGTTGGAAAAAATATTATACTTTTTACACATTAATTGTCCTCACCTAATTTTAGCTGTTTTTTTAATCAACGTAATTTGGTTATTTGTCTCTTATAATAAGAAGGAGGGAGTAATTAAATGTTCAACGTTCAATGTTTTTCAATATTCAGTTCATTTGGTGTTTTTGGTTAGGCGGGGGAAAAAAAAGAAGAACCCTGGGTCCCCGGCGTTATCCCCAGTGTCAACACCCTTCCCAAGGTTGGGCGGCGATGAGGTCACGTTATCATTTGTGTACAGTTTATTTATTTTTTATACTTTATAAAATATAAGGTGAGATGAATACGAAGTCTCACATCAAAATTCTGACACTAACAGAATTTAAATATCTTTTAGATCTTTCCTATTCGCAGGGATGTTTGGGAAAACCAAAACCTAAGTTTCAGAATCACTTTTCCGTAAAATGAGGTAACCTCCTCCATATATTTATTTTCGTAATCCGTAAAAGCACTTCTGAAACCAGGTTTGGTTTTCTATTCAAACACCCCTGCAAGCTAGCTATTGGGTCAAGCTTTTAAAAGTAAAGGGAACAACAAACCCATTACCCGCTAGCCTGTCTATGACCCATGAAATTTTTACCCATTTAACCCGTCCAATTAGCTCAAATAATATATTATAACGGGCGAGCTTAAATGGGCGAGGTAGCCCATTAAACGGGTTGGGCTATAGGCAAGGTATTGGGCTGCCCATACCCGTCCGTTTAAGTTTTAATTTTTTTAAAATATTTTATTTTTAATTTAATGATAATATTGTTTTCTTATTCATCTTTTATCAAATCTTTATGCTTGTTTAAGTTTTATTTTAGGGAAAACTATATTGGAGGTACCTATATATTTTTTTAATTTTCAATTTGGTACCTATGTGTTTTTTGTTCTTAACTAAATCTTTATTTTTTCCCTCTATTAACATCATTAATCCTTATGTAGAGATTAAAAATGTCAATAGAACAAATTATAAGAGCTAATATTGCTAAAAAGATAAAATTAAATGTTTAATTAAAAGGGAAAAAAACACATAGTACCAGATTAGAAATTGAAAGAAAAGTATAGGTATCTTCAATATGGTTTTTCCCTTTATTTTATCCTTTAGGTAAAAGTTGGCACTTTCAAAGTTTATGAGACTTTATGATTAGTAACTACTTTTTTGATTTTATCAGACTTTGATTGTTTACAAATCTAAGTGAGGTTATGTGATTGAATATGGTTAATGTTATTTTATATTTGATTTGCCATTTAGCATGCAAAATTTATTGATAGCTTATAAGATTACATATACAAAATAACTATACTGAAAAAATTAAAAAAATAAAAAATAGATTATCCCGTAACCCGGTCAGTCCCAAATGGACTGTCCCATAACTCATTTAATACGGGCTATATGGGCTACTACCGGGTTATGGGTTAGCCCATGTCCATTTATGAATAAATGGACAGGCTATGGGCCAACCTTCAGGTTAGCCCCCCCCCGCTCATTATTCAGCCCTATTAAAAGTTTTTACGAAATTTACGCGTGTAAGAAAATGTTAGTTAAAGTTAGTTATTTTAATGCAGCAGTTATTTCAGCTTTTTAAATACCGTTGTGTCAAGATTGCTGCTTTCATTAATTTACATTTTTCATATCAGGGTGTTTAGATATCATCGGTGAGTTTTTCATTTTTTTTAAATTGAAACAAATTATTCTACATGTTTATTTTGTATATTATAAAATTATTTTTAAAATTATAATTTTGTTTCTATCTAAACATTCTTATAATTATCTCTCTTAACTTTACATATTCAATTCATCATTCTGCTTTCATTATTCTTTCCATCTCTTATTATAACACCACCCGGTTTTTATTGAAAAGCGATAATTTTTTTGCCAGCATTATTGAAACACCAATATTAAGTGAGCACTTAGATTTAATTGGCGTTGAAAAACTGTTTGATATCTCCATTTTATCCTATATTTGAGGCCATTGTTTTTCCAACGTCATTAAATGGCATTATTGGTAAGGCATATTACACCTAATCCTTAATATAAGAACTAATTAATTAATTTGAATATTAAAAATTAGTTAATTTAGTTTTTGTAACAAATAAGTGTTATCTTTTTAAAATGTCTTCATAATTAGGTATATTGTTATAACTACTATTATTATAATAACTATCTTAAAAAAAGGAATAAATATGATAGACAAAATGAATTGAGGTATTTTATTTATGATCAAAATAAAAACCAATAAGTTCTTATATTAAAAACCAAGGAGGTAACAATATTTTAGACAAATACTTAAAAAGTTAAATTACTCTTTAAAACTTGAAATGGAGTTTTATAATCAGGGAATTGCAACTCTGAATATCAGGCCTTGTAATTAGGGGCCATTGTAATTAGGGGCTGAGGGGCATATTATAGGTGAAAACTATAATTTGCTTCAAATCACATGGAGTTGCATTGCTGTATACATACCCCAAAAAAAAAAAAACCATTATATATCTAGTGAAGGAATTCACACGCCCATCGTGCTTACGAGCACGAGGGTTATGCTTATAGCATTTTACTTAAACAAAAACTCAGATATATATTTGGTATCAGTTGAGTTGAATGGTACATACATCATATTAATGACATAATACCCCCTTTCCTTAATATAGTAGACAGGCAGTTAATTTTAAAAAATTAATTAGGTTAGTTTTTAGTAATAAATATATTTAATTTTTCAAAATTCTTATCTTTAATCACGTGTGTTTTCATTGCAACTATATTTTGATGAGAATTCTCTCACAGCCAATACTGCCCAATAGAGATATATTGAAAAGGTTGTAAGAAAAAGTGAATCAATATTTTATTCATAATCAAATCAAATTTTCATATAATATTATGTTGAGGAGCGGAACCAACATTTTTTCAAGTCCTTTGAAAGTGAACCAATGAATCGTACGCCACCCGCCATGCCACGTTTTATTACGCGTCAACTATGTCCTAACCTTATCAGACGCTGAACGGGGGTTTCCCTTTTAATAAAAAATCAACTATTGATTCATTTACGCTATGAAGCTGCGAGGAGGATATCACTTTTCCCATATCCAACCTCGTTGGTTTAAATATTGACGTATGGGATAACGGTGTAAACTGTTATTAGAGATGAACCAAAAAAAAAAACTACTTCCTGCTGCTAATATAATAACTTGTTTGATTTTTATTTTAATCATAAATATAAAATCTCAATTCACTTGGTTTTTCGTATTTATCTTTTTTTTTAAAGATAGTCCTTGTAATCATGTTACTTTCAGTCATACACTTGATTAGCAAGAATATTTTAGAAAAAACAATATATATTTATTACAAATATTTACTTAACTATTTTTTTAATTTACTTAAATTAGTTAATTAGATGTTGATATTAACAAGCAGAGGAATATATTTTATCATCACGTGTGATAATTAACTCGCCTTTATCTTATTGTCAATGACTCCTTTTCATAAAGCATATGGAGGAGAACTTTTGCGTTTTTTTATAAATATTACAGGAGATGTTTTATTGCACATTTCTCACATTGCCACTATCCAATGCTGGCCCTTTTTCATTGAGGCTTGGCTATATAAGTTTAGATGAGGTAAAATCGAAATTTTATTTGGTTTACAGAGTTAAATA